AAAAAAAAAAACTACATAGACATTTCTAAAAGAAGACATACAAATGGCAAACAAGTATGTGAAAAGGTGCTCAACATCATTGATCATCAGATAAATGAAAATCAAAGCTACAATAAGATTATCATCTCATCCCAGTTAAAATGACTTTTATCCAAAAGACAGGCAATAACAAATGCTGGACAGGATGCGAAAAAAAGGGAATCCTTGTACGCTGTTAATGAGAATGTAAATTAGCACAACCACTATGGAGAACAGTTTGAAAGTCCTCAAAAAGCTAAAAAATAGAGCTACCATACAATCTAGAAATTCTACTCCTAGATACATACTCAAAAGAAATCAATATATTGAAGAGATATCTGCACTCCCATGTTTACCGCGGTGCTATTCACAATAGTCAAGACTTGGAAGCAACTTAAGTGTCCATCAACAGAGAAATGGATAAAGAAAATGTGGTACATTTACACAACGAAGTACTATTCAGTCATAAAAAAGAATGAGATCTGTCATTTGCAACAACATGTATGGAACTGGAAGTCAATATGTTAAGTGAAATAAACCAGGTATAGAAAGAGAAACCGCATGTTCACACTTATTTGTGGGCGCTAAAAATTAAAACTGTTGGGCTGGGCACGGTGGCTCGTGCCTGTAATCCCAGTACTTTGGGAGGCCGAGGCGGGCAGATCATGAGGGCAGGAGTTGGAGACCAGCCTGACCAACATGGTGAAACCTCATCTCTACTAAAAATACAAAAATTAGCCGGGTGTGGTGGTACGTGCCTGTAATCCCAGCTACTCAGGAAGCCAAGGCAGGAGAATCACTTGAACCCAGGAGGCAGGGGTTGCAGTGAGCCGAGATCGTGCCACTGCACTCCAGGATGAGCAACAGAGCGAGACTCTGTCTCAAAAAAATAAAAATAAAAATAAAAAATAAAACCATTGAACTCATGGGGATAGAGAATATAAGGATGGCTATCAAAGGCTGGGAAGGGTAGTGGGGGATGAGGAGGAATTGGGGATGGTCAATGAGTACAAAAAATGAGAAAGAATGAGAAAGACCTAGTGTTTGCTAGCACAACAGAGTAACTATAGTAAAAAATAATATAATCATTGATATGATTTGGATTTGTATCCCCTCCCAAATCTCATGTTGAATTATAATCCCCAATGTTGGTGGAGGGGACTGGTAGAAGGTGATTGGATCATAGGGGTAGATTACACCCTTGCTGTTCCCATGATAGTGAATGAGTTCTCATGGGATCTGGTTGTTTAAAAGTGTGTAGCACTTCCCCCTGCTCTCCTCTGGCCATATAAGACATGCCTGCTTCTCCTTCGTCTTCCCCCGTATTATAAGTTTGAGTCCTCCCCAGCCATGCTTCCTGTACAGCCCAGGGAACTGTGAGTCAATTAAATCTCATTTCTTTGTAAATTACCTAGTCTCAGGTAGTTCTTTATAGCAGTGGGAGAACGGACTAACACAACCATACATTTTTAAAATAACTAAAAGAGTATAATTGGATTGTTTGTAACACAAACAATAAATGCTTGAGGGGATGAATAATCCATTTACCCTGATGTGATTATCACACATTGCATGCCTGTATCAAAATATCTCATGTAACACATAAATATGTACATTTACTATAGATCTACAAAAATTAAAAAAATTTTAAATTTTTTTAAAAACTAAGAGAGCCAAAAAGAACAGTAGTTCTTTCCCTTATTGCGATGGCTCATATTGGCATGAGGAAGCCAGCTGTTGGGGTAATGGAGTGGTTGCTGGCCAAAAATTAGCACATGCATAAGTCCCCACTGGAAGAGAGGGCTTTTGGTTCTATTTCCATCTGCTCGACTTCAGGCATGCTGGCTCTGTCACGTTTTACCTCACACATTCTGAGGTAGACATTCCCTAGATGATTTCAGGTATGAGGTGGGGGCAGTGTTGGGGGAGGGATCCACTGCCAAGGACACCTACAGAAAGCTGCTGTCTACTTTGCAGATTGATGACAAACAGCTTCAGGGCTATTTGTCTGAGCTTCGCCCAGTGACGACTGTGTTTGTGAACCTGATGTTTGAAGACCAAGACAAAGCAGAAGAGATAGGCCCAGCCATCCAGGATGCCTATATACACATCACTTCTGTCCTGAAGATCTTCCAAGGCCAAATCAATAAAGTCTTCATGTTTGACAAGGTAAGTGTGAACTATGGGATGGGAACCTACCACTAGTTTGAGGTTAGCATTCATGGACAAGCACATTGGTGAGACGGAGAGAATAGACATGGGAAATTTAACCTAGAGGCTGGGCATGGTGGCTCACGCCTGTAATCCTAGCTCTTTGGGAGGCCGAGGTAGGCGAATCACTTGAGATCAGGAGTTCAAGATCAGCCTAGCCAACATAGTGAAACCCTGTCTCTACTAAAAATACAAAAATTAGCCAGGTGTGGTGGCAAGTGCCTATAATCTCAGCTACTCAGGAGGCTGAGGCAGGACAATGGCTTGAACCTGAGAGGCGGAGGTTGTGGTGAGCCGAGATCACGCCACTGCACTCCAGCCTGGGCTATATAGTAAGATTCCGTCTCAACCAAACAAAAAAAGAAATTTAACCTAGAAGGCCAGTCTTTATAATTACAACTTCTATGGTGGATATGGCACTTACTCTGTGCCAGGCACTGTTCTCAGGACCTGATCTGTATTGACTCATTTCATCCTCATGACCACTCTGAGTGGTAAGTGCTCTTGTCATTATCCTCATTATATAGATGAGGATGCTGAAACAGAGATTAGGATGCCAGGACAAGGTGAGATTACGTTTTGCTCATGATCATCAAGCTAGCAAAGGGGGAGGCTGGGATTCAAACCCAGGCAGTCTGCCATCCCTGTCTGAGCTCACTACGCTGGGCTACCTCTCACTACACGTAAGTCTCCAGCCCAGCGCATGATGTATTACCCGGGGGTTTCGGGTCAGGAGTCTAGCAACCTTCACACCCCAGAAGCTTGTTTCCAAGAATGCCCACTTGCCATGTCAACACCTCCAGTTCCCCCTTTATTTTCATCCATGGTAGGGAGGGCACTGCCTCTGCTCCCAGGTGTTTTCACTCTGTTTTTTTTTGAGACGGAGTCTTGCTCTGTTGCCCAGGCTGGAATGCAGTGGTGCAATCTCGGCTCACTGCAACCTCCGCCTCCCGGGTTCAAGTGATTCTCTTGACTCAGTCTCCTGAGTAGCTGGGATTACAGGCATGCACCACCACACCCAGCTAAGTTTTGTATTTTTAGTAGAGATGGGGTTTCGCCATATTGGCCAGGTGGGTCTCGAATTCCTGACCTCAAGTGATCCACCTGCCTCGGCCTCCCAAAGTGCTGGGATTACAGGCGTGAGCCACTGCGCCTGGTCTTCACTCTGTTCTTAATCAATTCAGAGAAAAGTGATGTGATGAATAAAGGACCACAGATGCATATATGAGAATTGATTTCCCATCTCAATTCCTTTTGTGTATTAAAAGCAGAGCACTTAATTACTGCCCTGCATCCACTCACTCACTAATACAACAAGCATTTACTGAGCATTTCATAGAAGATGAAAAACTAGGGCTAGGCAGCAGAGATGAGTAACACACACATTGACACAAGTAGGCAGGAAGCATGCATTCCATATGAGACAAACTAACTCTGTGCTATGGGAGTTCTGGGAAAGGGATTACTTCCAGCCTGGTGCCTCCAGTATCTTCTTCAATATTGACTCATGGGTATCATAAGAAAAGAGTATAGAATCTAAGAGAATAATCTTTCGTGTCTTGCAGACGTGGCTCCAAAGATTCCCAGCTGTGAGAGTTAGCAAGTCATTGAACTTCTCTGAGCCTTGGTTTATTCCTCTTTGAATGGGGATAGTATTTGCCTCAAATGATTGTGGAAAGTTTTAAATCATGTAATATGTGTGAGGCACTAGGTGTAATGCCTATCTTAGAGTCAGCACGCAATAAATGAGAGCTGGGGGAATCAAAAGCTCTTGCCAGGCCACTACATAAATTTGCAGGCAAATGGGCTCCCTGCTTCCCCCAAAGGGGTAGCCCTCTTTACACGTACCTAGAAGCAGGGTTTCTCCCTTCACGTCAAGGCAGATCCCAGTTCTTTTAAAGATCTAATAGTTGATCAAATTCTTTTGGACAGGGTTGAAGAAACTGAGGTATTTTAGCGTTCTTTGCATTTTATCAGGATGTAACATGTCAAAAACTCAAAATTTCAACCCATCATCCTTTATTCACAATGCCCTTTTCTTACAGACAACAGCACCTGACTGAGGTCTTTTTTTAAGTGACTAATACTACAAATGCCAAGCTTTAGAGTTGAATCATTGCATGGAACAGTTAGCTTTATGATAAGAAAACCTACTCACAGCTTAAGCCTTTATCCCTAAGAATGATAACAGTATCTGCAAAGTACTTTATAGTTTACGATGACTTTTTGAATATATAACACATTAATTCTTTTAGTAGGCAAAAGCATCTCAGCAGGTCTACAGTATATCCATTTTCAGATAGATAAACGAAGTTCCTAGATTGTAATTGACTTACTAAGTTTCCACAGTTGAGAAGTGGCTTGAGAACAGAGACTTTCTGATTCCAGAGCTCGTGCCTTTTCCACTGCTCTGTGCTGCTGCTTCATAGACTTAAACTGAGCACCTTGCAGCATGGACCTTGGTCCCAGGAGAGAGTAAGCTGGAGCATGCACACAGATAGCTCAGCCCTATTCACTACATCTGGAGCAAAACAAGCCCTTCTCCAGGGCTCAAGCCCTCCTGTTGATGATGCAGTAGAAGTGACTGAAGTGTACTAAAAATAAAATACTGTGAGAGAAATCATGATGAAATTTGATTCAGAAGCCGAAAATTGCCGCGGGCTCTCTGTTGAGCCTTCTGGCCCGTCAGTTGAAAGCACACTGTCCATCAGCTGTGGTTGCTGTCTCTCTCCCTCACAGGGCTGCTCTTTCCTCTGTGTCTTTGGCTTCCCTGGGGAAAAGGTACCTGACGAGCTCACTCATGCTCTGGAAAGTGCTATGGATATATTTGACTTCTGCTCTCAAGTCCACAAAATCCAGTGAGTGTTGACCCTGGTCCCACCCAGTGGTCCCTGACCCTTTTGAGGCATACGTAGGGGAGGGCATGCAGGGAACAGGAAAGAAAGAAGAATTAATTAAGAACTTAGTCCTGTGTCTTAAACTGTTGTTCCTCCCTCGCATCTCCGGGCCATGTAGAAATGCCATAAACTAACTCCAACGGATAGAGAAAATCCTTTCCCACCCTTTCCCAACCCAGGCATTATTTCCCACCCTTCCCACTTTCTCTATGCTCATTATCTTTGTCTCTTTCCCCACAAATCTTGTCTCCCCTGCACCAGAACTGTATCCATCGGCGTTGCCAGTGGGATTGTCTTCTGTGGGATCGTTGGACACACTGTGAGACACGAGTACACAGGTGTGCTGAGTCAGCTCATCTCCACTTTTCTTTCCGCAAACACAGCACCTTGCCACTAGGCTTTGTGGGAGGAAGCACAAAAATGAGTGAGACATGGGCCCTGTCCTCAGAGAGTCTCCCAGATGGAGCCAAGCCATGGAGCTCTCAATGCTTGCAGAGTGTGCATTTCTGGGGCTCCGCATGAGTATGAGAAATATGTAGTCACGGGAGGGGAACAGTGGGAGGCTATATGTTGATGGAATGAGGGACTCCTGTAATAATTTCCTGTTAACAATAAGTAGTTACTTCTCTTAATTCCTGGAATAGGCTAGAACTCCTTAAAAATTATGAATGTTGATATTACTGAAAAATAGTGATACTCTCAAAAGAGAGTAGTAGTAAGTAAATGTTATCTCCAGATTTCACGACTCTATTACTTCCCTCTTCCATCCTATCAGGGTTTAAGATTTTCAGCAATAATGCGTCTAAAATACTGACTATATGTAAAATATCAAGATAGTTATGTCTGAAATGATACAATGCCTGAGATTTTCTTCGAAAGTACACAGGGTGGGGAGTGTATGGGGGTGAGGATGGGGCAGGATTGGAGATGGGCTAATGGCTTATTGGGATGGGGTGATGGGTATACGGAAATTCATTAAATTATATTTTATTTTATGGTCAAATTTCTCCACAATAAATAGTTTTTAAAAAGAGTATCTTGTTCAGAAATATTCAAGTTTATGTTAAAGTGACACATTTGCTACCTCACTTGTAGTAATATTAATTGAGGGCTTACAAGCAGCCAGCCGCTGTTCAAAGTGATAAGCGTGTATTAACTCATTAATCTTCATAAACTACCCTCTGAGATAGATACTATTATCATCCCTATTTTATAGGTTAGAGAATGGAGGCATGAGGAGTTATTTAAAGTAATTGCCCCAAGTAATTTGCACATAGTTAGAGGTAGAGCTGGTGTTCAACCCTGCACAGTCTGCCTTCAGAGCCTGTGCTTCAATTCTCCATGCATGCCTCTTCTAGCCCATTTACTAAATCAAGAAATTGCCAAATGAAGGTTTATTCATAGGAGCATACAGACACGATTTTGTGTCTCATATGGGGATCAGTACCCCAGGCCCGAGCTTGTGTTTGTCCACCTTGTATTAGAAGACCAGTTCACACCTTCTGTGAGAGCCTTCAGTGCTGTGGCCATCCCACTTACAGAGCCTGCTCCATACTCAAGGCCCTTCCATCCCTGAGCAGATGATTTTCTTGGCCTCCCAGGTGAGGCAGAAACTTTGCTAATGGCTGATTAGCTCCCTGCATATTTTGTTAACAGCCATTGGCTGAATATGGGTCTTGAGACTAGACTTGTATGTCATTCATGAGCGACAAAGGGAGTAAAGGGTAAACATGCTATTTGGGGACAGTATGTTTCAGATTACATTCAGTTCAATGGCTGTTATTTCCCTGATCTTTGACTTTATCTTTCTTGTTATAGTCATTGGTCAAAAAGTCAACATAGCTGCCAGGATGATGATGTACTACCCAGGAATTGTGACCTGTGACTCTGTCACCTACAATGGCAGCAACCTACCAGCGTACTTTTTTAAAGAGCTTCCAAAGAAAGTTATGAAAGGTGTTGGAGATTCTGGACCATTGTATCAGTATTTGGGCTGTACTGAGAAAGTGTGAGTGTGGAGCATTAATTTTGAAGTATATTTTAGTAAAGAAGTGGGAGAATTATGATAGCAAAGCAATCACCCGTTTAAGATTTGGAACCAATTCAAGAAGTTGAAATCTATGCTTTCCCCAGACCAAGTCCCAGACTTCAAAATCCTTAATCTTTCCTCCATCCGACTGACACTATGGCATGGTAGAAGAACCCATTCTCTCCTCAGATCTGAGAACATGAGGGTGATTCTTCGAAGTTGTACAAACCAAAGAAAAAATCCTCTCATTTGAGTATCTATTTGCACCCAAATGGGCCCAATCACCAACCATTAAATATTTACTAATTATGTCAACCATATGCTGAATAGGGTTAGAAGAGTGTAAGATATTATTTCTCCTCTAAGTCTTTAGTGACATACATTCCCCAAAAGCTCAGCATCGATTTATGGGTGTCTCTTTGAAGCTTAAAATCCTTCGATGGCTTTTAGTCATTTTCATGGTGATGTTCAAAATCTCTGCAATGACATACATGGTACCACCTGCCTTTCCAAACTCATCTCCTCCTGTGCCCCCTCCTCTGGGTTGTTTAAGTAGACTGTCCTCATCAGCACCCACCCACTCCTGGTTTATTGGGAAAACCACAGTCAATTTTTGAAACCCAGCTCGAGGGATTCATAGACATTCCTCTATGAATTCCCCATCCCAGCTAGACAGTTAAGCTCTTTCCTCCTTTGTCTTCCTCCTTCCTCTTCCTTTTCTCCTCCTATAGCATATGACTACATTAGAACACTCCTCACCCTATATCACAATTATTCACTTGCTATACTTTTCACTTGTTACACTGTGAACTCTTTGAAGATACTAATTATTTCTTTATTCTTATATCCCCAGTGCTTGATATACAGTAGGTCCTCAATAATGATGAATAAATGAATAGCACGGAAAGCAGAAAGTTGTTATTCTTTTTGTTAGCAAGCTAGAATCAAGGTCTTCAAGAGCCAGATAAGAGAACCAGGGCTGCAGTTGGGTCAAAATGTCTTTATTATTCGCTTCAGTATTCCTGAGGCTGAGCACTGTGCTTGGCGTACATAGGCCATCAAGAAAGTGCAGTTTGAATACATGAATGAATAATAATTTTTAGTGAGTACTTATTAAACATCAGGTACTTTACCTCAAAATATATAATTTAGTCTTAATATTGACCATATGAGATAGAAACTATTATAATTTCCATTTTATAAATTCAAAAACTGAGGCTCAGAGATGTTAAATGACTTGTCTATGGCTATATCTATAGTGTGCAATGGAGTCAAGATTCAGTCACAATAATGTGACCTTACGGGCAATCACAAAACCTCAGTGGTGTGCAAAAATAAACATTTGTTTTTCTCACAAATGTGGGATTCAGTTGATCTTGGCTGGATTTGGTTGATCTTGTCTTGGCTTATTCACATGCCTGGGGTTCAACAGGCTGTCGGCCAAGTTAGAGGCCTCAGTTGGGGTAATTAGGGCAATTAGGTTCTATGTGTCTCATCTTCCATCCAGTATGTTTGTCCTGGCAATATTGGAGGAGCAAGAGAGCAGGCCCAATGCAAAAGCATTTTTCAAGCCTATTCTTGTGTTATGTTTGCAGACAGTCCATTGACGAAAGCATTCACAAGGCTGAGTCCAGAATGAGAGGACTCTGCCAAGTTACACGGCAAAGGGCATAGATACAGGTACTGGGGCCATTAATGCAGTCAGTTTACTATGCAAACCCAGGACTATCTGATCCCAAAGCCTGCACTCTTCATGATTTTTCTGTACCATCTCTGTAGATAAAAGAGTGTAGAAATACACATACACATATGAACAGGACCCAGTTCCTGCCTAGAAAATTCACAATAAAGTGAGGAAGACCAACATACACAAACTTAGCTGTACGTTACATGGGAACCTTTGATATATGCTATAAGAGAGGCATAACAAAGTAGTGTTGTAGTTCAGAGAAGGGCATAATCCATTTTGAGTAAAAGGCTTCTTCAAGAGATACTGTTACGGAGTGAGGAAACATATGCACCCTGGCCTATGCTGGGACACTGTCAGTATCCTGTGTTACTACCTGCTGTGGGGTCTTGGGCAATTAAACTCTTTGTGCCTGAATTTCCTCACTGGCGAAATGAATGTAATAGTCATACTACTTTTTTTTTCTTTCTTTTTTTTTTTTTTGAGATGGAACTTTGCTCTTGTTGACCAGGATGGAATGCAATGGCATGATCTTGGCTCACTACAACCTCCGTCTCCTGGATTCAAGCGATTCTCCTGCCTCAGCCTCCAGAGTAGCTGGAATGACAGGCGCATGCCATTACGTCCAGCTAATTTTTGTATTTTTAGTAGAGACAGAGTTTCACCATGTTGGTCAGGCTGGTCTTAAACTCCTGACGTCAGATGATTCAGCTGTTTCAGCCTCCCAAAGTGCTGGGATTACAAGTGTGAGCCACTGCGTCTGGCCAGTAGTGCTTTTTTCTTTGGAGTCTCGCTCGGTCGCCCAGGCTGGAGTGCAGTGGCGCGATCTCGGCTCACTGCAAGCTCCGCCTCCCAGGTTCACGCCGTTCTCCTGCCTCAGCCTCCCCGAGGAGCTGGGACTACAGGCGCCTGCCACCATGCCCGGTTAATTTCACTTTGTATTTTTGGCAGAGACAGGGTTTCACCGTGTTAGCCAGGATGATCTCGATCTCCTGACCTCGTGATCTGCCCGCGTTGGCCTCCCAAAGTGCTGGGATTACAGGCGTGAGCCACTGCTCCCAGCCAAGTATAGTACTTCTGAACGGTGTTTTTGTCAGAATTAAAGAAAATGATGCATGTAAAGCACTTGGAACTGCACCAGACACATAGCATGTGCTTAAAAAAAGGTGCGCTATTATTGTTTAAGCAATTGGTGGAATTTTTGCAGAATGTGTGACTCTGCACCACATTGAAGTCTATTGGGCCATATATCAGGTGTCTGATCTCCTTAGAAAGGGGTTTCCTCTACCAGTGCAGACTCAACAAGCATTTATTGAACAATGTGCCAGGTACTATGGAAACAGATGCTTCCTGAGTTCTTTGGATTCTCCACTATCAAGTAAGACCTTCTCCTTTCTCCTTCTCTTGGCATTTGCAACCCTTGAGTCATGGGATAGACTCACGTTAGCAATTGAGAAGGAAACTTTCTGGGGACTAAGAACTAGTCACTCTTGCTCTCAATATTTCCCTGGTTTGAATCTAACATCTGGTTTTTTTCTTTTTTTCCTTCTCTTCAGCATGTTTGGTATGGCGTGCCTCATCTGCAACAGAAAGGAGGATTACCCTTTGCTGGGTAGGTAGTAGGCCTTGATTTTAAACTTCTTTATTGAACTATAACAAAACATGCAGGAAAATACATCAATGATAAGTGTGCAACTTAATGAATTATCACAATGTGAAAATATAATCATCGTCCAAGTTAAGAAATAGAAAAATAGGCCGGGCGCGGTGGCTCAAGCCTGTAATCCCAGTACTTTGGGAGGCCGAGACGGGCGGATCACGAGGTCAGGAGATCGAGACCATCCTGGGTAACACGGTGAAACCCCGTCTCTACTAAAAAAAATACAAAAAACTAGCCGGGCGAGGTGGCGGGGTCCTGTAGTCCCAGCTACTCGGGAGGCTGAGGCAGGAGAATGGCGTAAACCCCGGAGGCGGAGCTTGCAGTGAGCTGAGATCCGGCCACTACACTCCAGCCTGGGCGACAGAGCGAGACTCTGTCTCAAAAAAAAAAAAGAAAGAAAGAAAGAAATAGAAAAATAGCAATACACCAGGATTGCTCTTTCCTACTTCCTTTCCCCTGCTTAAAAAATTGATACAGATGGAATCATACATTGCATAATTATATATGCCTTATATATACTTTCTCTTACTCAATGGTGTGTTGTATAATTCATCCACATTGTTGGGTGTAGCTGTAATTCATTCTCTGTCATTACTATGTAGTATTCCATTTTTATACATATAGAACAATTTACCCATTCTGTTACTGTACAACATTTGGGTTATTTCCAGTTTTTGGTTCTTATGAATAATATTGCTACAAACATTCTTACACAGTCTTTTGGTGAACGCATGTATGCATTTCTGTTGAGTACAATGTAAAATGTAGGACTGAAATTGTTGGGACAAAGGGTGCAATTTTGGTAGATGATGCCAAGTAGTTTTCCAAAATGGTTGTATTTCTTTCTATTCTGATCGAGTATGTTAAGAGAGTTCCAGTTGTTCTTCATCTTTGGCAATAACTTAGTTTAATTAATCTTTATCCTTTCAATAATTCTGTTGGGTATATAGTGGTATCTTGTTATGGTTTCCATTTGTATTTCCCTGATGTGGTTGAGCTCCTTTTTCATAAGTTTTTTGACCATTTGGACTGATTTATTTATTTATTTTGAGACAGAATCTCACTCTGTTGCCCAGGCTGGAGTACAGTGGAGCAATCTTGGCTTACTACAACCTCTACCTCCTGGGTTCAAGTGATTCTCATGTCTCAGCCTCCTGAGTAGCTGGGATTACAGGTGCCTGCTACCATGCCCAGTTAATTTTTGTATTTTAGTGGAGATAGGGTTTCACCATATTGGCCAGACTGGTCTTGAACTCCTAGCTTCAAGTGATCCGCCCACCCCAGCCTCCCAAAGTGCTGGGATTACAGGCGTGAGCCACTGTGCCCAGCCCAGACATTTTTTTAAAGTACTTGTACAATTTTTCACCTACTTTTCAACTGGGTTGTATTTTGATTATCTTTTGGAATTATTTACACATTCCAAAATGTGTCATTTGTTTGTACTGTATATCACTTTTCCCACTCTATACTTGCCTTTTTACTCTCAGTTATGCATTTAATATGCAGAATTCTTAATTTTAATGTAATCAAATTTACTTGTCTTTTATAGTTAGTGCTTCTGTATACTATATGAGATACCTTTCATTACCCAAAAATCACGGAGATATTTTTCTAGCATTTTTTCCAGAAATTTTGTTTTTACCTTTTATATTTAAGTCTACAACCCATTTGGAAGTGATATTTTTGTGATTCCTGGTGATAGGGCCCTTATTGTACAAAAGATAATTCGAGATTAGACTGGAGTAGACCTAAAATGAGGCAGGGATATACCTATGAGAGAAGAGACCCAACGAAGATTGGCCTGTGGACTCTGAAGGCAGCCACTTCGAGTAGCACTTGCAATTTCCTTCTGTCAGACACAAACATCCCCGAAAGTCTTATCATAAGTTAAATCTTGGTCTTAACTGTGTTAAGGCAATTAAGAGGAGGCTCTGTCTCACACTTTGGAGAAATATCAGGCCACAGTCTTGGTGTCAGAAGAGCCTGAAGGAGGGCAACAGTTCCAGAACTGCAAAAAACACTTGGGCCAGGAGAAATGCCTCACTTTCACTGCTTTCAGGTAGTTTTCAGGGTCTTCAAGCCAATCACTTCATTTAAGTCCAGATTCCAAAACTCCGGAAGCTAGAGAGAAGGAATACCCACTCTCGCCCTCCTCTGAGGCCTTGCTTGTCATCCTAGGATATACTTATTTTAATAACCGACAGCAACAGAATCCTAACCTTCTTTCTATAAGACTGCAGACCCAACATGACAGTCACATTAGAACACATTATGTGTATATTTCTTTTTTTGTTTTTTTGAGACAGAGTCTCACTCTCTTGCCCAGGTTGGAGGCAGTGGTGTGATCTCAGCTCACTGCAACCTCTGCCTCCTGAGTTCAAGCGATTCTTCTGCCTCAGCCTCCCAAGTAGCTGGGATTACAGGTGCGCACCACCGCACCCAGCTACTTTTTCTATTTTTAGTAGAGACGGGGTTTCACCATATTGGCCAGGCTGGTCTTGAACTGATCTCGTGATCTGCCCGCCTTGGCCTCCCAAAGTGCTGGGATTACAGGCGTGAGCCACTGTGTGCAGCCTATGTGTATATTTCTCAGTCTGATTTAGTTGCCTTTTTGCCCTGATTCCACCAGTATGACAGAAAGATCAGGCCCACATACCTTTCCTTCAAGCTCTAACTAAACACAGATTGTCAGAGGCTAGCAGCATGGGAAATGCCCTTCTTTTACAAGAGCTGCTATAAATGCAATTGCAACAACATGGTTGACAACAAAACTATAATAAATAAATAGTGGCTTTTTAGGGTAAAAACTGCAGACAACAGTCCCCGATATTGAGGCTTTGCTTAGACAGAAACAAGGTGCAGGCATTTCAAGTTAAGGAGACCACCTCATTTGAGAATCCAGCTAAAGATAACCCATAAGGTTCTACCTGTAGGCGTTCTGTATGAATAGAACACAGGGAGCTGGAAGAGTCAGCTAGGCAGCCTTTTTTTTTTTTTTTTTAAGCTTCCTTAGGAAACTTTATTTTTTTATTTTTATTTATTTTTATTATTATACTTTAAGTTCTAGGGTACATGTGCACAACGTGCAGGTTTGTTACTTATGTATACATGTGTATATATGTGTGTGCAGCTATGCAGACTTTTAAGCCTCATCTTCTGAGTTCCTATGTGAGCTTCATTCAGGCCAAAGAAAAACACAAAACATCTCACAAAATTGAGGTTCAAATGCATTTTCGGAAAGGGAATATTTCACCCAAAAGAAGCAATACGGTCTGCTGAGTAGTTCTCACTAAGCCATACTCAGAAATTTATATTACCAAGCAAAGCACTTAGCTTCCTTTTATTAAATATCTACACTTGGATTAATGGTCCTTCAACAAAGACATTAGATAATACCTGGATATTTATTTGTTCTATCAATGAGTAACAAAATGGGCCTCCACATTCATCTGCCCAGCAAAGAAGGAATAGTTGGTTCTCACTGAGTCTCCACCTTTTTTGACAGAAATTGTTCACTGCTTAGAAATTACAATTCTTCCAACTCCTTCCTGTACACCCAGATTTCAAAGACTGTGAGCAGAGTTTCAGATTTCAGCCAGGGTTGTTACAGTATTTAAAAACACACAAGAAAAATAAGGGTTGTAACCCAAGGTGATTTTTATTTTTTTCTTTCCCTTTTCCAAGTTTTCCATATTTTCTACAGTAAGCATATGTTAGTTTTATAATCAGAAAAAACCTACAATTTATTTTCACTAAGAATTTAAGTTGCTCTTATGATAGAAATAATCTGTACATGATTTCTGAAGGCAAATTGAATTTTATTCCTGGTAATGCTTTTTGTAGCCCTGAATTAAGTATAATTTTCATTTACAGAGGGCAAGTTTCCTTTATCACAGAATCAGAAATAAAAATATTTTATCCATAATTGTTTAATGTAGGAAACCTAACTTTGATAAATTTATTTCCTAATGCAATAGTCTACAAATTACTTCTAGTGTGTTGAAAACAAACAAACAACAACAACAACAACAACAACAAACAAGCTTTAGGGTTAGACAGCCTTGGCTTAATTCCTGGTTGTGTAATCTAAGCAAATCTCAGTTTTCTACACTATAATTAAACATTATAATAAGCGTTATAAGAATACTTTCCTTCACGGCTTCTAATCAAATAAAACTGCAAAACTACATGGTTAGCTTAAAAAGTGCATAAGGCTTGAAGAAAGTCTGTGAACAATGCCATGGAGAAATTCCAAGTTGTTTTTTTTTGTTTTTTTTTTTTTGAGATCGAGTTTTGCTTGTCGCCCAGACTGGAATGCAATGGCGCCATCCCAGCTCACTGCAACCTCCGCCTCCTGGGTTCAAGCGATTCTCCTGCCTCAGTCTCCTGAGTAGCTGGGACTACAGGCACCTGCCACCATGTCTGGCTAATTTTTTTTTTTTTTTTTAAAGTAGAGACAGGGTTTCATAATGTTGGCCAGGCTGGTCACGAACTCCTCACCTCAGATGATCCGCCCGCCTCGGCCTCCCAAAGTGCTGGGATTACAGGAGTGAGCCACCGCGCCTGGCCCAAGGATATTTTTAGAAGGAATGTTTCTATGTGCCTTTTTATATCTCTAGACTATTTTATGCTGATTGAGTTTGCTCTCTTTTAAAACTAAAAATAACAGGACGTAATAAAGAGATCAACTACTTCATGTGTATTATGAAGAAATTTTTGATGTCTAACAGCAGCCAGGTCTTAATGTATGAGGGATTACCGGGATATGGAAAAAGCCAGATACTTACGAAAATTGAGTACCTGGCCCAAGGTGAGAACCACAGGTGAGTGTCTTGGAATGATTGTTCTGTGTGAACCCATAGAATCCTGATTTATTTTGATGCTCCTCTCCTTCCTATAACTTGCCTTATGTAAATTATCCATAACCTACAATGATTGGATGCCATGACACTCGTGCTAAATAAATAACTAACAATAAACATACAGAGCTAAGAAAAAGAGAAACTGGGCTGACCCATGGATATCCTGATTTAATGCCAGGTAGGGCTTGGTTATTTAAAGTTTCCTAAGTAATCCCAATATTCAGACAATTGGCCTATATGTTGAGATCAAGGCTAGATTTGGTCTGCAGAACAAACACGTAAGTTTTCCCAGCTAGCTGACAGGGAATCACTAGTTCAGACCGTTTAGTCCTGAGACTGGGGATAGAGAATGAGAGGTCTTTGGATTTTTCCCTGGAAGACAGATCTAATATACTTACGTTGTTTATTTATTTTCATATAAGGAATATCATGAGGGCTATCTCTGGGACAATCCATTCTACTTCCTCATGGAAGTAGATAGTATGGTATTCAACAACAGTAGCAATGACCAGGACAATAATTACGGTGTCTCATATCCTTTCCCCAGCTAACCTAAACAGTATGAGGGGAAAATGCTTGTTAATCTTATAATATTCTTAACTATATCTCTATCCCACATTAAAGTTAGGCCTGAGAAAGGCCAGTTTTAAAATATCTTTACCATTGCTGAAGGGATAATTCACAACAGTCAGAAGACATTTGTTTATTCATGTATTCAATCATTTATTGAATTCCTACTATGTTCAGGAACTACTGAGTGCTGTATTCATTAGCCAGGGCCTCTGTAAAAAAAGTGCTACAAATGGGTGGCTTACAACAGAAATTAGTCTCATAGTTCTCAGGAGTAGGAGTTTGAGATCAAGGCATCTTTTCTTCTCTGGACCATGAGGAAGAATCTGTTTCATGCCCACCTGCTAGCTTCTGATGGTTGCTGGCAATCTTTGGTGTTTCAAAGATGGCTTGTAGAAGCATCACCCTAATCTCTGCCTTCATTTCACATGGCATTCTCCCCGTGTGTTGTTTGTGTCCAAATTTCACCTTTTTATAAGGGCATCAGTCATACTGGATTAGAGGCCCACCCTACTCCAGGATGGTCTCATCTTAACTAACTGTATCTGCAACGACTCTCTTTTCAAATAAGGTCACACTTTGAGGTCCTAGAGGCTAAGAATTTAACATACGAATTTTGTGGGGACATGTGTCAACAAATGCCAAAGCCCTGAATATCAATAAAGTCTGCTCTCTGCCCTCAAGGAGCTCTCACAGAAGAGGAGGAGAGAGATAATGTGTTAGTCCGTTTTCACGCTGCTATAAAGAACTACCTGAGACTGGGCAATTTATAAAGAAAAGAGGTTTAATTGACTCACAGTTCCACATGGCTGGGGAGGCCTCAGGAAAATTAGAATCATGACAGAAGGCAAAGGGGAAGCAAAGCGTGTCTTACATGGCAGCAGGAGAGAGCGAGCAAAGGAGGAAGTGCCAAACTTTTAAACCATCAAATCTCATGAGAACTCCCTCACTATCATGAGAACAGCATGGGGGAAACCACCCTCATGATCCAATCCCTTCCCAACAGGTCTGTCTCCTGACACTCGGGGATTACAATTCGGGATGAGATTTGGGTGAGGACACAGAGCCAAACCATATTAGATAACATTAAAAGTTGAATGTAGTGAGGGCAATGATAGAGACATGCAATAGAGAATTGTGGAAGTTCAGAGAAGAAAGGATATGTAGCCAACCTTGGGACACTGATGACAGTTTCCAGGAGACTACACCTGAGCTGAGACTTAAGATGAACATCAAATGAGGGGCAATGAGAAGTGATAGCACTCTGGGCTGAGGAGACAGCATAAGCAAAAGCATGGAGAGGAGAAACAGCTCTGGGTGTGCAGGGAACTCTCACCTGTTTGCTGTTGTGAAGGGTAGATTGCTCGGCAGAGAGTGGCAAGAAAGGATAGAATGAGGCTCTGGAAAGTCTTGTGTGTCACATAAAGGAGGCCTCCGTTCATGCTGTTAGGCAATGGAAGCTCCCAGTCAGAGTGGCTTGCTATTGTGGTAGTATAGGGTGGCAGTAGGACTAGAAAGGAAAGAATTAGCCAGGTTAAATTAATCAGGGCTTAGGAACAGGAGAATGAGGGAGTATATATATCAGAAGCAGCAATAAAGAACAATTGCCAGATAGGTTGGAAAATCTCCATCATTATAGCTGAATATGAGAAGACAGAACTTTCCTTTAACCTTTATTATTTTCAAAAATATATATTTAAAAACTCTCTTCTGATTCTTGATTTTCTCACAAACAGGGTCATTGCCATTTCATTAACTAAGATCAGCTTCCATCAAACTTTCTATACCATCCAGATGCTCATGGTCCATGTCCTAGGCCTGGACACTTGTAAACATTATAAAGAACGACAGACCAACCTTCAAAATAAAGTCATGACACTGTTGGATGAAAAGTTCTACTGTCTTCTTAATGACATTTTCCACGTTCAGGTAACTAGCTAGTATTATACTTCCGCACGAATAACCATGGGCAGGCACAGCAACTCCTCTCTGGTGCATTGTGACTCAGCATCTCTTTGGTCTGTATTTCTGGAGTATCCAGATGCTGAGTAAATGGCTCCCAATCCTCTTTGGATGTGCATCCACATTCTTCACATATTAGAGGTATATTGAAATACCATACTCAAAAAAATCCAAACGACCACCTGCTGACTCATTTTTTCTTACCTTTCTATCATAGCTATGCTAGCTACTCTGGGACACAAAGTCTCTCTGTTCCTACAAGTGATGCCAGTGCAGAGACTGTGCCCTGTCTTTTCCTGAATTATCTAACACAGGGGTCCCCAACCCCTGGTACTAGTCCATGGCCTGTTAGAAACCAGACCACACAGCAGGAGGTAACCAGTGGGTGAGCAAGTGAAGCTTCATCTCTATTTATAGCCACTCCCCGTTGCTCACATTATCACCTAAGCTCCTCCTCTTGTCAGATCAGCAGCAGCATTAGATTCCCATAGGAGCATGAACCCTATTGTGAACTGTGCATGCAAGCGATCTAGGCTGCATGCTCCTTATGAGAATCTAATGCCTGATGATCTGTCACTGTCTCCCATCACCCCCATATGGGACCATCGAGTTGCAAGGAAACAAGCTCAGGGCTCCCACTGCTTCTATCTATATTATAGTAAGTTGTATAATTATTTCATCATATATTACAGTGTAATAATAATAGAAGTAAAGTGCACAATAAATGTAATGCACCTGAATCATCTCAAAATCATCCCCCCTGCCCCAGTTCATGGAAAAACTGTTTTCCACAAAACTGGTCCCTGGGGCCAAAAAGGTTGACACCACTTATCTAACACATGAGGATTTTAAGACACAGAATAGTTGAGTATTTTGCCCAAAGTTGCACAGCCAGTAGTTCCCTTTGCTATTTTCCCATGCTTCATATTCTCATAATTCTTTGTACAGTTTCCTATTTCTCGGGAGATTTCCAGGATGAGCACCTTGAAAAAGCAAAACCAATTGGAAGTATTGTTTATGAAGATCTTGGAGCAGGTAAGAGCATCTGTGGGTCAAGAAGTTGGGGGAAGAAAACTGGGCAAATCACCACGAAGCCAGGTGGTTTGACTGCATTGGCAAGAGGCTTTTGCAGTATATGAAGGCTTTATCCTAAAGTACTTCATTCTCCTCCATCCTTCCAAACCTCAAGCTAAAGGTCTGCTTAGAATTTAGATGCCTTGAAAAGAGTCCCTTAACATCACTTCTAGGAGTCTGGCCTCTCTCAGCCCTCCTTTTTTCATGCTTTGTTGAGATATAATGTACCAAAGTGGTTACATATGCAGACCCTGTAGTCAGACCACTGAGATTTGAACCCCCAGGCCTATCACTTGCTACCTGAGCAACCTCAAGCAGTGACTTACCCTCTCTACGTTTCTGCTTTATCATCTATCAAATGGAGGAAAATAATAGTACCTAGCTCACTGAGATGTAAGTTTAAATGACTAGATTATATGTAGAAACCCTTAGAACAGTGCCTCTTTCATAAGAAACACTCAACAGGAGTTAGCTCTCTCTCTCCCAGTAATATCATGACTGTCTGCTATATATTGATCACCAAATTTATATTTCAGTCCCCACCTCTCTTATAAACACTAAAACCATATTCCTAAGAACCTTCTAGATATTCCACTTGGATGTAGTGATTCACGCTGAGTTGAGTGTCTAATGCCAAATTCATTTTTTTACTATAGTGCCCTTTCTTCCTCATCCTGACCCTGATCCTTGATTTCATTAGTAGCAAATTATGCCATTCTGTATCATTTAAAGTTATCCTTACCTTCTTTGTCACCCACATTCCCACATTTACTCACGGCCAAGTCCTACTATTTTTACCTTAGAGAGTCTCTGGAATCTCCTTGTCCTCCCTTCCTATTGCCATAGTTCCAGGTTCTTATCATCTTTTCCTGGACTATTTCCATAGATTTCCAAAAAACTCTGTGCTTCACACCTCTCTGCTTCAATTCATCCTTCATATAATTCTCAGAGTATATGCAAATCACACCAACTCATACTTTATACCCTCGAAATAAGTCCCAGTGGTAACAAGATAAAAGCCAAAAGATTTCTTTTTAACCTAGAGAAATGGTGCTCATCTTTCAATGTCACCTCTTTGGTGAGAACTTCCCCAGATCACTAGACATGACTAACTCTTCTTCCACCAGGCTTCTGTAAGGCTTTGAACACATTTCTAGTTATACTATACACTCTATACTATTACGGTATATTGCCATTCATTGCTTATATATCTGTTTCTCTCTCCCTCAGGAGATCGTGAGCCTCTTTTTTTTTTTTTTTTTTTGTGACATAGTCTTGCTCTGTCACCCAGGCTGGAGTGCAATGGTGTGGTCTCAGCTCACTGCAGCCTCCGCCTCTGAGGTTCAAGCGATTCTCCTGCCTCAGCCTCCCGACTAGCTGGGACTACAGGCACACACCACCACACCCAGCTAATTTTTGTATTTTTAGTAGAAATGGGGTTTCAGTATGTTGGCCAGGCTGTTCTCAAACTCCTGACCTCGTGATCCCCACCTCAGCCTCCCAAAGTGCTGGGATTCCATGCGTAAGCCACCACACCCAGCCTGTGAGCTTCTTAAGAACAGAGAGTCTCTTAACATTTCTGTATCACTATTGATGAGCAATGTGCCTCATAATTGTACATAATAGATGATCGATATAAGTTTATGGCATTATATCATATTTATAATACAGCTTTCTTCTTCTCCACTTCAGGTCATAGGCAAGACAATATCAGTAGTTTCTAAATATCAGGCTTTAGACTGTTTGCATCACAAGTATTTACAAGAAGCTCCTTTAAATATATGGATTTGTGAGTTCTAACTCTAAAGATTAAAAAACTAGGATGTGGATTGGGCCTCGGAATCTATTTAGTTGTTTACTTTTGTTGTGAAACTTTTCAGTTGGTACTGAAGCAGAATCTTGTTTGGAAACTGCTACCAAAGCTGTGCTTGATTGTGTACTGACAAGTCTTTGGACCATTAACTATCTGTGTTACCCTGGGCAAGTTACTTAACCTCTCTGTGCCCAAATTTTCTCAGTAAATAGATTCAATAGTACCACTGTATATGGATGTTGTGAGGATTAAATGAGTTAATTATGTAAAGAGTATCCTACAGTACTTGGAACATAGTAAGTACAATGTAAGTGTTGACTTTTTTTCCACATTAGAGAGAACCCAATTCCCATTTTAAATTGGAAGAAACCAGGCCAATGTTTCATTATTGAATTTATGCTTTTTTGTTCCTGCTTTGTTCTCTTCAATTTATGAATAATTCATTACCAAGGCTATCCTAAGGTTAAAACTTACATTTCTATCTCCCCATCTTTTTAAAGATATCAGCCAAAATCAAAACAATGTAGTGCTTACCTCCTCATTAAACTGTTCTCAGGGCTAGGCAAAGGGCTAAGTATTTGGTGACAGAATGGGGCTGTAGGAGTAGACCTATGTATATGTGAACAAGGCAGGTTGTAACACTTTGTAATGACTGTCAAGCACAAAGAGAAAGAATGGGTTAACTCTGTCTCTTCTCAGAGGGAAACAAAAAGCAGCCATTAGCAGTCTGGAGCAGTGAGAATTGGGGAGTGGGTTTTCTCCATTGTGACACCTTACACAGTGGTGGGGCAGAGCCTGTTACATAAGTGGTTGACACTAAAACGTAGGCTCCATATTTTGTTTGAGACTGTATTCCCAGTACCTAGAACAGCACCTGACCCTCATAGACGCACAATAAATGCTTAATGAGTGAATAAATAATTCAGATTACTTAGGGAAGGGTAGTCTATGTGAGAAAAGGGACACATGATCTGTTTTTTAAGTGGAACACATACCACATTTCAAACTAGAATAGCATCAGCTGCCAGCAGGGCGAGGACTAGTTTTGTTTAACACCTAGCCCAGGGGGTGCTCAGTAAGCATGTGCTGAATATACATTGGTTGAATAAATGTCAAGTAGATTTCCCCAGGAGAATTTTATTGTTCAATAGATTAAAATGACTCATATTTAACAAACCAGTTATTTTTATGTAATGGGCACTTCAGGTGGCTTTTGTGGGTACCCCTAAAACTCCATCTATCCTCCAAATTTGCACTATCTTTACACAAAGGTTTGACGAAGAGTCCATTCCAGCCAGCTCTGTCCAAATAGCCACAAATTCTAAGTTAATGGAACAAAAAATAATACAAAGTTACTGGAAAGAAAAACTTGAACTTAGTTCTTTCGCTGCATCATAAGCAAACCCGGAAACTCAATGGATACATATGCATACCCATACGTATGTAAAAAAACCTGACATCCTATAGTGTTTCTCTTTCTCTTTCTCTTTCTGTATCTTTTCCAGACAGTGAAAGAGGAATGGATTATTTTTATCATTCATGAGGCCCAGTTTGTGGATTCGACCTCCTGGAGATTTATGGAGAAGCTTATCCGGACTCTTCCTATCTTCATCATTATGTCCCTGTGTCCCTTCATTGACATTCCCTGTGCAGCTGCCAGTGCCATAATGAAGAACAGGAACACCACCTACATCACCGTTGGTGCAGTACAGCCTAATGACATCACCAACAAGATCTGTCTTGACCTCAACGTGAGCTGCATCCCCAAAGAACTGGACTTGTAAGTAACCTCTTTCTATTCTGAACTCTTGACATCTGCATTCATTCCCTCGGTCCAGACTTCATCAGATTTCTTAGTATGTGTTTTGATGTGCCTATTCCAGTATCTTTCCTGGCCCCACCTTTAAAAAATTTTTTCTTTTCTTTGTTTTGTTTCCTTTTGAGACAGGGTCTTACTCTGTCACCCAGGCTGGAGTGTAGTGGTGCCATCATGGGTCACTGCAGCCTTGACCTCCTGGGCTCAAGCCATCCTCCTGCCTCAGCTTTCTGAGTAGCCAGAACTACAGGTGTGTACCCCTGGTAAATTTTTTATTTCTGTAGAGATGGGGTCTCACAGTGTTGCCCAGGCTGATCTTGAACTCCTGGGCTCAAGCAATCCTCCCATCTCAGCTTCCCAAAATACTGGGATTACAGGCGTGAGCCACTGTGCTTGGTCTGGTCCACCTTTTGAAGGGGCCATTCATGATGCTTGGTAGGATGGATGTTGCTCACCTTTTCCATGTTGTCTCCCTGTTACACCTTCTCCAACTTTGCTTAGTGAAAGGCTCTGTTTCCCTTTCATCATGGGGGCTATGGGTATACTTACATTAACTTGCAGTGAAGAAGAGCATTGTTATGGGCAAGTGACAGGAAAGGCAAACTGGTAAGCGTTAAAGACTATGACCTGCAACTAAGCAAGGTCTTACCTGGCTGGCAATGGTGTGGTCTGGTATTGGTGTTCTCTGTCTATGGCAGATGCGGAAAGCTGACTCACTGGTGAGCGCTCTCTGAGCTTTTCAGTGGTTCCTTTCCTGGGTTTCCTTTGGGTTTTTTTGTTTGTTTGTTTTTTGTTTTTGTTTGTTTTTTAGACCTAGTTTCACTCTTGTTGCCCAGGCTGGAGTGCAATGGCGCAATCTCGGCTCACCGCAACCTCCACCTCCCAAGTTCAAGCAATTCTCCTGCCTCAGCCTCTTGAGTAGCTGGGATTGCAGGCATGCCCCACTACGCCCAGCTAATTTTGTATTTTTAGTAGAGATGAGGTTTATCCACGTTGATCAGGCTGGTCTTGAACTCCCGCCCTCAGGTGATCCGCCCTCCTCGGCCTCCCAAAGTGCTGGGATTACAGGCGTGAGCCACCAAGCCCGGCTCTCCTGGGGTCCTGACAGCAGTCACCTTAACAACATAGAGAATGTTTCTTCTTTAGCTGGCTGTTTACAGCCCATCTTAGTATCTGCAGTGAGGTTGCTGTGCTTCTGAAAGAAAGATGTCTTGAACAAAGGCTAGTTTAAGATCACTCCAGGCACCAATTTGGCCCTCACTCTCTCTGTCTCTCTCTCTCTCTCTCCCCCTTTCCCTCTGTTTAAATTGTATAGAACATGTATATCTTTCCAAAGCCAAAAAGATACATCCTTAGTCTTGCTTCCCTCCCTTATCCTATAGGTAACCATTTTGATTAGTTTTTGGTTTATCCTTCCAATGTCTGTTTTAAAAACTATAAATAAAGCGTGTGCACACTTATTGTATACACACAAAAGTGAAATAAAAAAACAAAGCAATGCCTCAAAATTGAAAACAAACAGACACAAATGAAGAATGACAAGAAATTATTTTCAAGTGATTGAGAAGACTTAAATGTTTTTCCTTCCTAAAAGATGTATCTTCAATGTAAACAGATTGCCTTGTTTTCACTACAGGTACCTGGTGGAGGGAAGCTGTGGGATTCCATTTTACTGTGAAGAATTGCTTAAAAACTTGGAACATCACAAGGTACTCGTTTTCCAACAAACGGAGTCTGAGGAAAAGACAAATAGGACCTGGAATAACCTGTTCAGTAAGTCCTGCAGTGATGGTTCTTTCTTACTCTGTTTTGCCTAACTTAAGTTTTCATTCAGAGAAGGTAGCAAAAATGGGCTATTCCACAGGCTGCTTCCTGTAGAGTCAGAGGGTTCTGGGGAGCCAGGAATTATTGGATCTGATATTCCAGATTGTAAGAGAACTTAACATTGCCTGGGACTCACTGGACTTGGCTAAAGATTGTATAACCATGGCTGGGCGTGGCAGCTCACACCTAAATCTCAGCACTTTCGGAGCCCGAGGCGGGCAGATCACTTGAGGTCAGGAGTTCAAGACCAGCCTGGCCAACATGGTGAAACCCCATCTGTACTAAAAATACAAAAATTAGCCAGGTGTGGTGGTGGGCGCCTGTAATCTCAGCTACTCAGGAGGCTGAGGCAGGAGAATCTCTTGAGCCTGGGAGGTGGAGGTTGCAGTGAGCTGAGATTGCACCACTGCACTCCAGCCTGGGCAACAAGTGAGACTCTGTCCCAAAAAAGAAAAAAAGTAACTATAGTAGAAATGAAAGGACACTGACAAATCTTAAGGCCCAGAACTGAAGGGCCACTTTGATGTTATTTTCAAAAAGCTTTTCCTTTTTTGCCAGAGGTAAAATTTCTAGTATGAAGTGAGTTATCAACAAAGATCCCGTGCTACACAGATATACACAGGGATGAAATGTGAAGTGATGGCATGAAGGAGGCCAGTTGGAATTTTTAGGAAAATAATTTTATTGCAGGGAGAAGGGTGGGGGCCAGAGAATACAAGCTGGAAAGTAGAGAATTAAGGCTAGATAGAACAGGCTTTAAGTGGGACTTTTTTTCTTTGCACTCCCTTGGTGTTTCTGAGTTGCTAGATTCTTCAGCTCTAAGTCTCGGACATGTGAGGCAAAAAGAAAGCCCTGCCATGGGACCCACTGCCACGTTTTTCCTTGGATCCTAAGGTCCCTAGCTGGTCTGACTTCTCTCCACCTTCAGTGTCATCTTCTGTTTGTTTTACACATAATGTCTAGGGGTTTTAATTATATTCAGCAGGAGGAATAGGGAAAAACATACCAACTCTCTCTTCCTGGAATCGGAAGCCTCTTCATTTTTTTGTGACTCAAATTAAGTGATAAGATGATTTAACAGCGATAAGCACAACATGTATTAATATTACTAAACCTAGAGGGTCAAAACTTATTCCTCTGCGACTGAATTTAAAGACAAGAATATAGGTGTGAGATCAGTGTCATGTTGAGGTGAATATGGTGCAATAAAGGACTTATGGTGCTGCTGTCTCTATGTAGCAGGATAGAAAATCACCACCTAAAGGTGACGATGAGGGACATTTCACAAAAAAGACTCCTCTTGCTTCCTAAAAACCCCTGCCTCCTGGGTGAATGAATGATGCTCAGATGTCCCTATCCATGTTTCAGTCTGTGCTGCATCTGTTGCCTCTCACTTCTTGTTCAATAGCATGACTACAGGACCATGTGTCCCCCGAGGGCACATCTGTAGGAGAAATGAGACAGATGGTTGTCTGAGAGAACAGGGCAAAGTTTCAACTTTTTTTTTTTAAGGAGCAAGAAACATAAGCTTGCTTTTTAAGGAAAGATCAATTTTTTTTTTTTCTGGATGATTGTGATGCAAAAATAGAGAAGACTTTCTCTGGCCAAGTTAGTTTTAAAGATGATAATGGATCATTAAATCGATAATGACTGCTATGATCATTATTTTAGACTAAATAATTCCATTATAAGATGCCAATGGATTAAAGGAAAGCGATATGTAAATATAAATACTGCAGAGTAAATATTATTTCTAAATTTTATACATTTGTTTACTTTGTTTATTTGTTCAATAAATGTTTATGTAGTATCTGTTATGAGCTTTTTTTTTTTTAAGATAGAGTCTCACTCTGTTGCCCAGGTTGGAGTGCAGTGGAGCGATCTCAACTCACTGCAGTCTCCGTCTCCTGGGCTCAAGCAATTCTCCTGTCTCAGCTTCCCGAGTAGCTGGGATTACAGGCATGCGCCACGCCACTACTGCCCAGCTAATTTTCATATTTTCAGTAGAGACAGGGTTTTGCCGTGTTGGCCAGGCTGGTCTTGAACTCCTGACCTCAAATGATCCACCTGCCTCGGCCTCCCAAAGTGCTGGGATTACAGGTGTGAGCCACTGTGCCTGGCCCTGTTATGAGCTTTTTAAAACATAATCAGGTGTCTTCTCTATTTAAAACCCTTTAGTGTCTTTTGTGTCTTAATTTTTAAAAATTGAACTTAAGGAGAGATTCTGGTTACACAATATTGTGAATGCACTACAGGCCGCTGAATTGTATACTTTAAAATAATTAATTGCATGTTAGCTGAATTTCACTTCAATTAAAAAAATAAATATGATACATAATCCTGGACTGGATCCTATACTGGAAGAAAAGAGAATGCTAAAGGATATTATTTGGTCAATTCACAAAATTGGGATACGGACAGTAGACTAGAGTATTGTATCAATGTTAAATTTCTTTTTTTTTTTTTTTTTGAGACACTCTGTCGCCCAGACCGGAGTGCAGTGGCACGATCTTGGCTCACTGCAGCCTCCGCCTCCTGGGTTCAAACAATTCTCTGTCTCAGCCTCCCGAGTATCTGGGATTACAGGCAACTGCCACCACACCTGGCTAATTTTTTTTTTTGCATTTTTGGTAGAGACCAGGTTTCACCACCTTGGCCAGGCTGGTCTTGAACTCCTGAACTTGTGATCCACCCGCCTCGGTCTCCCAAAGTGCTGGGATTACAGGCGTGAGCCACTGAGCCCAACCAATGTTAAGTTTCTTGAAGGTGATAACTATACTCTAGTTATATAAGAGAGTGTTGGCCAGGTGCAGTGGCCCACACCTGTAATCCCAGTTCTTTGGGAGTCTGAGGGGACCAGATCGCTTGAGCCCAGGAGTTTGAGACCTTCCTGGACAACATGACAAAACCCCATCTCTACTAAAAATACAAAAATTAGCAGCGTGTGGTGTTGCACGCCTGTAGTCCCAGCTACCTGGGAGGCTGAGGTGGGAGGACTGCTTGAGCCAGGGAGGTTGAGGCTGCAGCAAGCTATGATCACGCCTCTCCACTCTAGTCTGGGCGATCGGAGTGAGACCCTGTCTCAAAAAAACAAAACAAACAAACAAAAGAGTGTCAATATTTTTAGAAAATACAGAGTTTTAAGTATTTGGGAGTATAGGGTGTGATGTGTGTGACTTATATTCAAATGCTTCAGAAAAATATGTACACATAGAAGGAACCTAGGATATAGTAAATGGGGCAAAGGCTGACAACAGGCGAACCTGAGTAAGGAGTACATTCTGTGTATCACCCTTTTATTTATTTCACACAATTGAATTACATTATGAGATTATCCTACTAATGTATTTATCTATTGTTTAATGTTTGTCTCCCATTAGAATGTGAGCTTCATGAGGCAGGGAATCTTGTGCTCTCCTGAATCCCCAATCCTAGGAAAATTCCTAGCACCTAGAGGCAATCAGTTAATACTGGCTGAGTGATGGAAAGAATGGTTGTCTCAGTGCGAGGTCCTGAAAGGGGAAATAAGCATAAAAGAGCAGGGACCACATCATACCCTTGAGCCCCACTCTCCTACTCCCAATACATACACATACCCACACACACACGGCCCCCTTTTTAGTATGCTATCCTTCCTTGGCTTCCCTGACCCCACACTCCTCCTGTTCCCCTCTCTGACTAGTCATCAGATGCTTCTTGGCTCTCTCCCTGGGTCTACTCCTCTTGGGACATTCTTCAAGTTCTATCCTTAACCCTCTCCTTTTGCTAGCTTGCCAGAATTAGAAACAACTCTTTCCCCAGTTGTTTTCATTTACTCATCTATTTCTCAGCCTTCATGTGTGTGTCGAACCCTAACCTCACCCTTAGTTCCACACCCATATTTCCAATTGCTCACTGAACTATTCCACAGATTCCCTTAAACTTAATAAATCTAAAACTTCATGCATTATCCTCCTTCCTCAACCACCCCTCCTTCTGTACTCCATGTCTCTGTCACTTCTATCACTGTCTTGCTTAGGCCCCATTTCCTCCATGTCTTTAGTATTTGCTTTCTCCTTGCTGAACCACTTACCTGGTTCTATCCATCCTCACTTCTTGACATTCCATTATTATAACTCCTTACATAGTCTTCCCTGTCCTGGTCTCGCGCCTTTTCCATATGCTGCTTCCAGTGCTACCTTCCTAAATATGACTGGTTGGATTACTAGTATCTCCTCTTCAGAAATCTGTGATCTTTCCCTCTTGTCTATAAGGTCCAGTCTTCATATTATGGTGTTTAATGCCCTCCATGCTGTGCTCCCAAACTAGCTCTCTGAACACGTCTCCACGTCCCCTACATAGCACTTTAACATACCAGCCCCTGCACTTTAGCCATGCTGGTCCGCTCCATTCCCCTAACTCACTAAGTACTCTGAGGTTCCCGTGCCTTTGCATTGGCCTCTCCTCCACTTTCTGCTTACAATATCTCTTCATCCTTCAAGGATCAATCAAAGTACTTCCTCCTCTATCAAGCCTTTCTGAATCCACCAAGTCTGATTTAATCGTTATTTTCTGTTCCCACAACATGCTACTCTTTGCTCGTTAGCTCTTAAGTCACTCATCCTGGTGTTATAATTGGTTACTTATATATCTGTCTCCATAGATTTCTAAGCCCCTTGAGGGCCGGAAGCATGTGTTATTCACGTTTATAGCCTTCACTGGATATGATGCACAGAAAGTCCTTAATAAATATGTCCTGTATTGATGTGAACTCTGGTGCTTACTGTTTGTGTCCAGTCACACGGCACTCATTTACTGCCTGGCAGTCCAGCTCTTTGCGTACATGACTTAGAGCTCTAGGAAATAAGGAACTCGGTTTTATTCACCTTCCTATTTCCACCTCACCTAGCATAGTCTTGCAGCTATCAAGGACTGCATGAATGGCTCAAGGGACAGAAAAATAATGCATTTTGGAGTACTAGGAAGCCAAATTACTAGGCACATTTAGTATTCAAACTTCACCAATTAAAATATCTCTTTCTGATGTAGCCATGTCCTAATTAGAGTACAGTGCCTCACAGAATGTGTTTGTATCTGAGTGTGGGTATGTGAATGTATACATACAAATACATGTTTCTGTATACTGTAATACATTCTGATAATCTGACTGTGAATCAAATGTTTGTAAAGCCTTATATCCTATGGAAGACATCAATAGTACCAGTTCCTTTGGTTGGGCAGGGTTGACAGAGGGAGACAAAACATTTTTGAGTACATCTAGATTTTCATTAATCAGTTTTACTTAGAACAAGGTTTCCAGCAGCCTCGTGCAGTGTGGCTCATACCTGTAATCCCAGTACTTTGGGAGGCCGAGGCAGGCGGATCACTTGAGGTCAGGAGTTTGAGACCAGCCTGGCCAACATGGTGAAACCCCATGTCTACAAAAATTAGCCAGGCATGGTGGTGGGCGGCTGTAATCCCAGCTACTTGGGAGGCTGAGGCAGGAGAATCTCTTGAACCTAGGAGGCAGGGGTTGCAGTGAGCCAAGATTGCGCCACTGCACTCCAGCCTGGGCGACAGTGAGAGACTCTGTCTCAAAAAAAACAAAAAACAAAACAAAACAAAAAAAAGGTTTCCAGAATATTTGGTGAGCCAATATACATCTCCACACACTCTTCCTCACATGAGATTCATCTCAAAGCTCATTGGAAAATCAGACCTTATAAAACAGACTAATGACTCAACTTTTCTTCCCTTTTATACCCCTGTAGAGTATTTCATTAAGCCAATAGAGAGGTTAAACATGGTTACTCTCCAAAGTGATGAGGAAAGTGAAGTCTGTCACCTCGCAAGTGGTGTCAGACTGAAAAACCTGTCACCTCCAACATCATTAAAAGGTAAGAAAATCTGACCAGGCGCGGTGGCTCACGCCTGTAATCCCAGGACTTTGGGAGGCTGAGGCGGGCAGATCACAAGGTCAGGAGTTCGAGACCAGCCTGGCCAACATGGTGAAACCCCGTCTCTACTAAAAATACAAACAAATTAGCCAGGCACACGCCTATAATCCCAGCTACTTGGGAAGCTGAGGCAGGAGAACTGCTTGACCCCGGGAGGCGGAGGTTGCAGTGAGCCACTGCACTCCAGCCTGGGTGACAGAGTGAGACTCCATCTCAAAAGAAAAAGAAAAGAAAAGTCAGAAAAGAAAATCTGACCTGGTATTTATTTTCTAGTCCCTAAACTTCACTTTGGTTTTCTCTAGGATGTCTGTTTTTAAAACGAAAAAGAAAAACAGCAACACTGGTTGTTTGTGTGTTTGTTCTGTACTGCCTGAAGCAGGGAGAAGGCTCCAGGGTAGGCCTGGCTTTTTTCCTAATTAAGAGCCATCTTTCCACCTGTGTCTATTCTGGAATCTGCATAAAAGAATGAAATATTGTACATTTTCAATTAAACAGAAATCAAATAATGAGGGAGGAAATCTAATACTGAGATACTTCCTGCCATCCACTTTTATGAGAAATAAATGACAAACAAGAGTTTATATGAAAGACATATTATTGGCCAGGTGCGGTGGCTCACTCCTGTAATCCCAGCACTTTGAGAGGCTGAGGCGGGCGGATCACTTGAGGTCGGGAGTTCGAGAGACCAGCCTGACCAACATGGAGAAACCCCGTCTCTACTAAAAATACACAAAAAAATTAGCCTGGCATGGTGGCGCATGCATGTAATCCCAGCTACTTGGGAGGCTGAGGCAGGAGAATTGCTTGAACCAGGGAGGCGGAGGTTGCAGTGAGCCGAGATTGCGCCATTGCACTCCAGCTTGGGCAACAAGAACGAGATGGAAAAAAAAAAAAAAAAAAGACTTGCTTAGTTTCTACTGTGTTTTAAAAGGGCAAGTTGAGAAGTTCTAATTTTGTCCCTAACAGAAGGACATCCTGGTCAAAATGTCCAGAAAGCCACGTGAGCTACGATATTCAAGCTTAGATGAAACATTGGGATAGGAGCTGTGAACTTTCTGACAATTGGTCATGACACAGAGATGATAATGTATGTCATGAAAAGACATAAATTTCCAGGGCAGATTGAGAGAAAAATTTCCAGCAGAAAGGGGAGCCAGAGAAGAAGATACAGAAGGACCAGCTGAGGAAGTCAACAAAGCACAGGAATGGCAGGGCCTGCTCCTTCTGACAATAGTGATTGCAATGTCCTCTCCTCTCCTCACACACGCTTGTCACACTTTAGCACAAAATCAGAACACCATGAAATCGATCTTAATTTTGTCAGGTCATTGTGCCATGTGTCTTTCCAGGCCATAAGCCTGCATCTTTAGTACTCTCAGCACAAGTGTTATCCACAAATTAGGTACTAAACAAATACTTCTTCTGACTTAGCTTGACTGAGTTTCTTTCAATAAGAACTGTAGAGCAGGATGGTTGTATCAAATACAGCATATTTGATAAAGACAAATAACTAGTTTTCTACTGTGTGATCTTCTACCTGCAGAAATCTCTCTGATCCAGCTGGATAGCATGAGCCTTTCCCACCAAATGCTGGTGAGATGTGCTGCCATCATTGGCCTGACCTTCACCACCGAGTTGTTGTTTGAGATTCTCCCCTGTTGGAATATGAAGATGATGATCAAGGTCCTGGCAACCCTAGTGGAATCTAACATTTTTCATTGTTTCCGGAATGGCAAGGAGCTTCAAAATGCCCTGAAACAGAACGATACCTCATTTGAGGTGCACTATCGCTCCTTGTCTCTGAAGCCCAGTGAAGAGATGGGTGAGTAGCACCTGGAGTGACTCAGCTTCCTCTTAAGGACCCATCTAGATCAAATAATTGACCTGTGTTAGGTAGAAGGGGCTGATCTGTTGCCCACTGCCTGGCTGAAAAACCCTTTTTGCTCTCTCCAGATCACGGTGAAGAGGAAGAGCTTCGTGACCTGGAGAATGAGGTGATCGAGTGCCACAGGATTCGATTCTGTAGCCCTATGATGCAGAAAACAGCCTACGAGCTGTGGCTCAAGGACCAGAGAAAAGCCATGCACTTGAAATGTGCCCGCTTTTTAGAAGAAGATGCCCACAGGTGTGACCACTGCCGAAGCAAGGACTTCATTCCCTATCATCACTTCACAGTGAATATTCGGCTCAACACTTTAGACATGGATGCCATTAAAAAGATGGCTACGTCTCATGGATTTGGAAGTAACCTACCTCATTTTTAAATTATCCTAACTGTTCTTGGGAAATCTAGAGACTAAGATCTAGAAGGAGTGGGTGTGGACCTTGAGGGCTTCAAGTCCCATAAGCGGCTTGGGCACAAAGAATGATGAGACTTCAGCAGCCTAGGCCAATGGTGAAGAGAAGAGTAAGGGAATGTACCTGTATTGAGTCTAGTGAACCAATCTCACTATAACTGTCAGGGATGATTTGGGGATAGGGGCTCTGGCAAAATGGGGTGTGACCAGAACTTAAACTAAAATATCCCACTTAATTCACACCAAAGGATGGAATCCAAAGGGGGGTACAATCTGACGTGATGACATGGTGTTTCTTGGCAGATAAGAATATTATTGCTTTGTTGGTCTAGTTTGAAACAGGTTCCAGTGGGACAAGAATATGATTGAGAGAGAATTAGCCAGGGCTAAGCAGGTCAGGGCTCCAGAAAAGAGGGCTTGGTTTCAGGGCAGGAATTCAAGACCATCTGAGAAGCAAATTTAAAAAGTTACAAACCAATAACACCAATCAGCTATGTGATCTGAGAAAACATAGCAGAGGATTTGAGGGATGTAAGGACCCAAAGACTCAGTCACTGCGGGCATGATGGGTGTCAGACATAGAGCTATAATACCAATTCTAGCCCCCATTCATGGTGGCCAGGGAGCTCCTAACGGGCTGTCTACCCTAGTCAGAGGACCTTGGTGATTATGGCTAAATCTGGTTGGGAAATCAGAGGCTACAAGTAGAGGACTCCTATATTATAAGGATATTAAAAATCAGGAAGAAATGTATCTAAAGTGCCTAGCACATAGCAGGTGAAAAATAAAATTTTTTTTCTCATTTGTTCTCTATTTCATGTGCATTCTCAGTGGATCCTCGTATTAACCTTTTAAGGTTGATGAGGGTTATTTTCATTGTGTAGATTTTTTAAATTGTGGTTCTGGAAGCTTAAGTAACTTACCCAATACCACAGAATGAGTGACAGGCTTTATTCAATCTGCCATCAGTCTAATACTATTACTAAGTTCATCCTCTGCTCATTATACCTGAGCTCCCCCAAATGTGGGGTTGGACTTTTAGGTAATACTTGCCAGAAGATAGGAAGTTCATAGACACAGCATGAAGTAGAAATCAAGAGAGTGAGAAAGTTGCAGCTTTGCACAGTGGAACAAGCATGTTGTTGAAACTGCACTCACACTAGTCCATCTCCCTTTTTGGAAGGCAGGAATCCGGCTGTAAGTTCAGAGCTTTAAGATCTGGACTATGAAGATTTCTAGTCCTCTGAAAACTTGAGTACAAAGAGGATAACAGGGCCGGGCACGGTGGCTCAAGCCTGTAATCCCAGCACTTTGGGAGGCCGAGACGGGCGGATCATGAGGTCAGGAGATCGAGACCATCCTGGCTAACACGGTGAAACCCCGTCTCTACTAAAAAAATACAAAAAACTAGCTGGGCGAGGTGGCGGGCGCCTGTAGTCCCAGCTACACGGGAGGCTGAGGCAGGAGAATGGCGTAAACCCGGGAGGCGGAGCTTGCAGTGAGCTGAGATCCGGCCACTGCACTCCAGCCTGGGCGGCAGAGCGAGACTCCGTCTCCAAAAAAAAAAAAAAAAAAGAATGTTGGGTAGGACAAGGAAGATAAGGAGCGCAGAGTCATTTGGGTGCCTTCACTGCAGAGCAAGATTCATGTAAAGACAGAGGAAGTGAGGGATTTTGCTGTGTGAGTGGCTGAGGAAGACTATTCTAGGCAGACGGGTAGCTAAGTGACCCTAAGACAGGAGCGTGGCCCTTCCATCCTATACATGTGGAATTTATACTTTCAGAGATCATTTTATTCTTACCAAGCACCGTGGCTCACCTGTAATCCCAGCATTTTGAGAGGCTGAGACAGGTGGATTGCTTGAGCTCGAGAGTTCAAGACCAGCCTGAGAAGCACGATGAAACCCCCCTCCATAAAAAATACAAAAAATTAGCTGGGTGTGGTGGCAGGCGCCTGTAGCCCCAGCTACTCAGCAGGGTGAGGTGGGAAGATCCCTTGAGCCAGGGAGGTTGAGGCTGCAGCGAGCTATGATCGTGCCACTGCACTCCAGCCTGAGCAACAGAGCAAGGCCCTGTCTCAAAAAAAAAAAAAAAAAATCATTTTATTCTCACTTAGTCAGCTAAATGTCCTGAACTTGAGGAGATAGAAGATAAACCCAAGAGGTAGTCTGACATCTTGAACCTAAAGTCTTATTTTTAGTTATTTGAAACCATAAGGTGGGCAGGTGATATCTTTGCTTTTCTCTTTTCTTTTGAGAACCTACAGGCATTTTGTATCTTTTTTCTTTTGATTTTTACAGATTCTCCTTGTAGTAGGAAACTCCTAATATAGCATCTCCTTTGTAAATAAAAAAATGAGAATCAAAAATAATATGATTCTGGTTGGGCACAGTGGCTCATGCCTGTAATCGCAGCACTTTGGGAGGCCGAGGTGGGGGGATCACGAGGTCAGGAGATCGAGACCATCCTAGCTAACACGGTGAAACCCCATCTCCACTAAAAATACAAAAAATTAGTCAGGCATGGTGGCACACACCTGTAGTCCCAGCTACTTGGGAGGCTGAGGCAGGAGAATCACTTGAACCTGGGAGGCGGAAGTTGTAGTGAGCTGATATCGTGCCACTGCAGTCCAGCCTGGGTGACAGAATGAGACTCCATCTCAATTAAAAAAAAAAGAAAAGAAAAGAAAAGAAAATATAAAATTAGCCAGGCGTGTTGGTGCGGGCCTGTAATCTCAGCTACTAGGGAGGCTGAGGCACGAGAATCACTTGAACTCAGGGGGCAGAGGTTGCAGTGAGCCAAGATTGCACCACTGCGCTCCAGACTAGGCAACAGAGTGAAACTCCATCCAAAAAAAAAAATAGTAATAATAATATGATTCACCCAAGCAATAAATGACATAATGACAAAGAGCATACTTTGTACGCCCTGACTCTGTTTGCTTTATCTATCCAATCTTCGCATTCCATTCTATCACCATTACAATTTATTTATTTATTTATTTTGAGACAGAGTCTTGCTCTGTTGCCCAGGCTGGAATGTAGTGGCATGATCTGGGCTTACTGCAGTCTCAAACTTCCAGGTTCAAGCCATCCTCCAACCTCAGACTCCCAAGTAGGTGGGACTACAGGCACATAACACCACATGCCACTAATTTTTTCTTCTTCTTCTTTTGTTTTTTTTGTAGACAGGTCTTGCCATGTTGCCCAAGCTGGTCTCAAACTCCTGGACTCAAATGATCCTCCCACCTCAGCCTCCCAAAGTGTTGAAGTGTTGGGATTATAGGGATGAGCCACTGTGCCTGGCCACCATTACAATTTTAAACATAAAGTGTTGAAGGAGGAATAGCATTTTCATTTTACTAATTGACTTATTTTCAACAAATGTGCATGTATGCAACAAACATTTATTAAGCATCTACCCTGTGCCAGGAAGTGACCTAGATATTTGGACCATAGTAGTGAAAAATGATAGACATTTATTATTAATTTTTATTTTATTATTAATGATAGACATGTCTATTCTCATAAATTTGAATTTTAATGGCAGCTGACAGACAATGAAGAGATTAAGCAATAAAATCTTCAAGGGGCCTTGTAGACTTTGATAAATAGTCTAAATTTCAGTCTAAGTGAATTGGAACACATTAGAAATATATCAGTTAGAATGAGTATTGGCTGCATATGATAAGGACCTAGCTAGTGTGGCTTAAATTTATTTATTATCAAATGTATTATATTTATGTATTTCTCATGTAAAAGGCTTGTCTCATCACTGGGACTAGTATGGAGGCTTCATGATCATCAGGGACCTTGGTCCAAAACAGCTGCTGAGGCTCCAGCCAGCACATTTAATGCCAGAAGGAGAAAGAAGCCAAAACATGAAAGGATGTCCCCTCCCTTTTAAAGGATCTTCTAAAAGTCCTACCCAGTATTTCCTCTTACATCCCATTGATCGGAACCTAGTCACATGTCTATATCCAGTTGCAAGGGAAGCTGAAGAATTTCGCTGTCCTGAATAACATTGAATTCTATTACTAATGAGAAAAGGGACAATGGAGATAGATATGGGAAACCGGCAGTTCCTGCCACAGAGATCTGAATCATACTTTTTAAATGGTACTGCCTTCTCTACAGAAAAAGATTGAAAAGGATAGGAATAGAAGGGAGATTAGTTTTATACAGTTGTCCAGGTAAAATTTTGGTGGTGGACCAGGATGGTGCTGTAGTGAAGATGGACAGAAGACGATGAATTCAGATATGTTTTTGGGTATGGTCAATGGGACTTTCTGATGGACTGAGTAGGGATGGGGGTAAGAGAAAGAAAATAATCAAGGATCTTGTGCAGGTGTTTGCCTTGAGAAAAGGGATATATGGCAGTGATGCTTACTAAGATAGGAAAAGTTGTAAGTGGGTATAAGTTTCTGGAGGAGAGATTAAAGAGTTTCTGTTTGAATCATGTTAATTTTGAAATACCTATTACACATTCAAGTGGCAGTTGCCAAGGTGGTGTTTGAATATATGGGTCTGTAGTTAAAGTAGATGTCAAGGCTTAGATTTATAAAATGGAAATCCATTAGCATATGAATGTAATTAAAAGTCATGGGCAGATGAAACTGCCTAGGGAGAAATTGTGAATGGAGAATGGAGCCCAGGACCAAACTGAGGTTTACCAACATTTAGAATGTTGGTAGAAGAACAGAAGCCAATTAAGTGGGCAACCAATTCCCTTATAACACACAAAGCAATGTGTGCTAAAAGAATGAGTGAAAAGAGAGAGTGGTCGCTTGTATTAAATGCTGCTGAGAGGTAATCAAGTGCAGACAAAGATGTAGCCTTTGGATTTGACAGCATGGTGGCCACAGGTAACTTTAACAAGAGCAGTTTTAGAGAACTAGGGGGACAGGGTCATAATTCAATATATTCAGCTGCTAGTCACTAAGGAATCAATAAATAGTAATCTAGGAGAAGAGGTGGCCAAATTAATCTCTATGCAGTGCAATAAGGATTATGATACAGGTCTGCACAGGGTTGATGGGCACACAGGAGTTGGGGTACTTATCTATGGGGTACTTACCTATGGGGGCAAGGGCACAGAGGGGCTTTCAGAAGAAGGTGATAACTTCTTAGATGTTCAAACTGCATCTATAAGATGTATAGAGTGATGCATTAGCCTAGGAGCCAGAAAACCTAAGTTCTAGTCCTACATCCACCACTAACAGTTATATGAGACGAGTTCCTTCCCCTCTCTGGGATTCTTTCTTCTGCCTGAAGGGAGAAATGACTGGACTAGACAAGCCTCATTTGTTTTCTGTTTTAAGATCATTATGGAATTTTCTAAACTATTCAACTCTGCTTAGACTGAGGTTTTTAATTTAAGATTCTCTGCCCTTCAGTTAACCTTTTGGGGTATTCCATTTCATTATCTATATTTCTCCATTGGAAACTGATGTCACTTTCTTCAGGCTTAATTCATAGTTTTTATTGCAGAATAAATTACTTAGGATAATGTTATTAGCTATCACAAATCCCAACATTTCTGTGGCTTAACACAAGAGAGTGATAATTTATTTCCACCTCGTGATATAATCCAATGCAAGTATTAACCAAAGGCTTTGCATGCAAAGGGACCCAGGCTCCTCCCAACTTGTGGGTTCGCTATCCTTCAGGTTCTTAGAATTATTTGCTTTCTTGTGGAAAGAGAAGGCAGAGAAGACACTTAACCATCTCAGCCTAGAGGTGACATATATTACTTCTGATCTAATTCTATTGTGAGAACTCATGATGTGGCTTCACCTAAGACGCAATGGCGACTGGGCATTGTGGTTTCTGGCTGGGCAGCAACAATTCCATAAAGGGAACAAAAGTCTCGGGTAGACAGCAGATATCTCCACTACAGAGAACATTTCAATGACCCATACAACTCATTTGTTTATTTTCTAGCTCAAGAAGATCTTATCCTGTCCAAATCAGAGATTCCTGAGACATCCGCATTATTTCCTGAAAATCCCAGGTAGAGGCATATATCATTGTTTAGGAAGTAGAGCATAAACAATTGTCATTAAATTCAAAACACTATTAGAATCATTTGTCTGGCCAGTACGTTTGACCTCTTAGATACAAGTGGGAAACTTCGGGGGGTATGCATGGTGAATTTAGTCAGTAGTATCCACACTAGGTTTTATTATCCTGCTCTTTTGTTTTTAAAGATATTTTATTTTATTTTGAGACGGAGTCTTGCTCTGTTCGCCCAGGCTGGAGTGCAGTGCTACAATCTCAGCTCACTGCAACCTCCACCTCCCGGGTTCAAGTGATTCTCCTGCCTCAGCCTCCTGAGTAGCTGGGACTACAGGTGCCTGCTACCACGCCCGGCTAATTTTTTGTATTTTTAGTAGAGATGGGATTTCACTGTGTTGGCCAGGATGGTCTCGATCTCCTGACCTCGTGATCCGCTTGTCTTGGCCTTCCCAAAGTGCTGGGATTACAGGCGTGAGCCACTGCGCCCGGCCTAATTTTTGTATTTTTAGTAGAGGGGTTTCACCAGGTTGGCCAGGCTGGTCTTGAACTCCTGATCTCAGGTGTTCCACCCGCCTCGGCCTCCCAAAGTGCTGGAATTACAGGCATGAGCCACCGCGCCTGGCCTAAAGATATTTTAATATCAAAAGTGATACTGTGTAAGCTACTATGATTTATTTCTGCATATGGACAGTCCTGACAAAATAAGAGAAAAGATATTGAATTTCTTTGACGACGTGTTAACAAAAATGAAGACATCTGATGAAGACATTATCCCTCTGGAATCTTGCCAGTGTGAAGAAATCCTAGAGATTGTCGTCTTGCCTCTGGCCCACCATTTTCTGGCGTTGGGAGAAAATAACAAAGCCTTATATTACTTCTTAGAAATTGCATCTGCTTATCTCATCTTGCATGATAACTACATGGTAAGCTGTTTCTACCCAGACCACCTCCACCCTAGAGAGAATTCATGTAACATAGAGCCAGAAGGGAAGCTCCAGCATGCTTTCTGATTACTTCACATTGTATGTTCCCGACAGCACCCCTTTCCACTGAAAATCACATTGCTTAGAAGGGAAATGATCTAAGATTGAGAAAAGAGAATTGGAATACATTGCAACTAGCATTGTAAATTATTTAAAATATTGCCACCTTTAGAAACTTGCCATGAATTGTCTACCTGTATGGGAGGTAAGGGGGCACATCTCATTCCCAAAATGATGCAGAGAGGACTCTTAGCATAGTCTTCCTCAAGTGGCATTTACCCTCTGTTAAGCCTAAAATACCTGTGAGTGCAAAATACCTATAGGTCTTTGGATGAGTGCAATTCTGGTTTTTTGTTTTGTTTTTGAAATGAAGTCTCACTTTGTCACCCAGGATGGAGTGTAGTGGTGCATTCTCTGCCTCCTGGGATCAAGCCATCCTCCCACCTTAGCCTCCTGAGTAGCTGGGACCGCAGACATGTGCCACCATGCCCGGCTGATTTTCTGTGTTCTTGGTAGAGATGGGGTTACACTATGTTGCCCAGGCTGGTCTTGAACACCTGAGCTCAAGGGATCCACCCGCCTTGGCCTTCCAAAGTGCTAGAATTACAAGCATGAGCCACTGTGCCCAGCCAATTCTGGTTTTAATCTTGTGATCCCCAAAGAGGCTCTCCCCACCTTCGTCATCATGTAATGTGTGCTGGATTATCGCACATACCCTTAGACCACCAAAGCACCAGTGAATGCTTCTCTAGGGTAATTATAAATAAGGTTCCAGGGCAATATGCCCCTAGAAATGAGGGGATTTGATACACATAATGAAATAAACAGAATTCATTGTTAAGTAAGTTGGAAATCACTGAGCTGAATACAGGTAAATAGATTCCTGTAGATATTTCAGGGCCTTTGATATACTGAGATACATATAAATCTGTTCAGAGGACACAGAAGGGTAAAGGCCAGGCTAGGCTGAAGTATACTGTGTTTCTCAAACTTATTTGCTCTTAGATCTCTTTTCATGGAGCAGCTGGCTGGGCTAACCTTCCATGAACTCACTTGAGGAAATGTCTTCCTGGGCCCTTGCTTCATCTGACTTCAGCCAGCTTCAGGAAGAGCTTCATAGACCTTCCACAATTTACAGTTGCTACTGGTCACAGCAGCCTAATCAACCCTCCTACCTTAGATTTATATAAAATTCTAAAATTAAACTATTAAAAATGTCACTAAGTTCCTGTCCTTGAAAGCATTTATGTTAGGAAGGAAAGTCTCCTGCATATTTCATGCACATATTCGGGGTGATGATGGGGATGTAGCCAATGAGTCCCAGGAGGAGGAGGCTTAGGTAGCCCTGGGGGACAACTCATCTTGTCTCCCTTTTTTTTTTTTTTTTGCCTCCCACACATACCCAACAAGATGCATGAGACTGGGAGATATTGCCTCACCTTATTTTGTTCTTCAAGTCTGATCTTACCTTGATGTGCACATGTGCTAAGATTTGCCTAATGATGTTAGGAGGTGAAGATGAAGTGATGAGAGTTGTGCAGGGACTTACCTTCCTCATCCACCTCCCAAAATGGCCCTGGCAAAGGAAATGGGGGTGATTCATAATTCATTTCAAAGCTGAAGACCAGCTTCTCACAGATGTGGGGATGCTGGTCAAGGGAGGTGGGTGTGTGGTTAGAAATAGGGAGGTTGGGGATAGATTTACTGAGGGGAAGAAATTGGTTTGAGGGAAACTTCAGGTAAGGCAACCTAGATGATAGCATGAGGAAAGGTGATTTCCAGATTCATTGTCTTGATGGAGTGATCCAGCAGACAAAAGTAAGCATGAAGGTGAGATCTTTACCCATCAGCTCCTGTCTGGAATTTGGAAGCCCATTTTAATCAGTGGAGCTGGGGATGGAAGTGGAGGTGGTCACTGAAATGGCTCCTGCATCTCTTCCTTCAGTAGAGTCTGGGGCAATGGCCCTTCTGTGGGCTCAATCCCTGCTAAATCAACACTTTTCTACCCCTTGGGCTGGTTACAGGCGTATATGTATTTAAATGAAGGAGAGAAGTTGCTAAAAACTCTCGAGAAGGACAAATCTTGGAGCCAGACATTTGAGTCTGCCACCTTTTACAGCCTCAAAGGTGAGGTAAGAAACCATTAAAGACTTGAATTAATCTGTTATATATCTTAGGCCTTTCCACAGAAGTAGAAGTCATCCCTATACTTTTTACACCCTCCTCCCATCTCTTGCCACAGACTTCTAGCCAAGACTCTAGAAACTCAAATTCCTGGGCTCCAGCCTCCTCACCATGGCTTACCAGCAAGATCTTCCCTGTCTTCCAGGTTGACATCTTTTTTTTTGTTTGTTTGTTTGTTTTGAGAGGGAGTCTTGCTCTGTTGCCCAGCCTGGAATACAGTGGCGCAATCTCGGCTCTCTGCAGCTTCCGCCTCCTGGGTTCAAGTGATTCTCCTGCCTCAGCCTCCAGAGTAGCTGGGATTACAGGCATGTGCATGTGCCACCACACCCAACTAATTTTTGTATTTTAGTAGAGATGGGGTTTCACCATGTTGGCTAGGCTGGTCTCAAACTCCTGACCTCAAGTGATCCACCTGCTGTGACCTCCCAAAGTGCTGGGATGATAGGCGTGAGCCACTGTGCCCAGCCCAGGTTGACACCTTTATGAAATATTTTTGTTACAGTCTCTAAAAATGGACCCGAATGGGTAAACATTGTCCCAGGGGTAGACAATGCACAACTAAGATGCTAAATCCTAGTCATTCAACCATGCTTCATGCATATATCCAATAGATATTTTCTATTATGCCAGGCACAGGAAGATTTCGTTTCTGGTCCATAAATTACCTTTTTGATAACAATCCCCAAAATATGGATTGTGGGGACCTACTGATTAAGTTAGAATAATCACTTTTCCTCTTTTCCTGTCTTTCCTCCTGCCTCCCTGTAGGTCTGTTTCAATATGGGCCAGATAGCACTTGCCAAGAAAATGCTCAGGAAGGCACTGAAGCTCCTCAACCGAATCTTTCCTTACAACTTAATCTCCTTGTTTCTCCATATCCGTATTGAGAAAAACAGACACTTTCATTATGTGAATCAGCAGGCCCAAGACAGCCCACCTCCAGGGTAAGGGAATGAGCTGGGGTGAGCAGACTGTTTAGTCTCACTCCCCTTAGAGCCCTACACATAATCCAAGTCAGCCCCCAAAGCCTGGCCTGGTGGGGGGAGGGTACAAGGACTCCTGTCTGTCTCTGACCATTCACTGGGGAGGGGGCGAGTGTGGGAGATGCTTCCAGACCAGGGTTACCACAAAGTACTTTAAGGGCAGTTTTTGCAAAAGGGAATCTTGATGACACAAACATAAGGGACCTCATTGTAAGGCGAGTTCTAGGGTCCCTCCCAACTCATCTAGCCCTTTAACCCCCTTGGTGATCCGTGTTCTCATTGGATGGAACCTGCACCACCGCTCCTGGGACCTCAGTCACAAGCCCTCTTCCATTAGATGCTAAGAGACTGGGTTTTGCCCCCCAAAAGAAAAATAGCAAGCCCTGAAGACGTTTGCCAAAGGACAAAACTCCCACCCATCTGTGAATCTCAACAGCAACGTGGGTTACATGGGGGTAGCTGTTGGTCAAAATTGTACTGTTAAGATTTGGGCATTTCAATATATATAAATTCTACCTATAAGATAACAATAATAATAGTGAGTGGGGAGAAATAGTGAGTGGAGAGGTCGATGAAATAAGCATGTTGCTAGTTGTTGAAGGCAGGTGTTGAGCGCATTTCGCTCATTATACTCTTGTTTGCTGTGCGTATGCTTGAATTATTCAGAAATATTCCACCTATCTAGCAATTCATACCAAAGGAGATGGCACCTTGTTGGGTACCTGGAGAGCTAACAGAGGACACCTCTTCCATCTTGGGAGAGCTCAGCAGCTATATTACTATAGGTTCTGCCTAAGATACAAACATCTATTCCTATAAGCAAGTTACCACAACTCTTTTGCAACCCCATCAAAAACTGCCTTCCCCAGCTTCCAAACGTGTTCCTTTAAATGTAGGGAATCCTGAGGTGAAAAGGAAACGTAATGGAGCTGAGTTCCTGTGCACGCTGGAGGTGGGCTCCTGCAACTACCTGGCTGTTCCTGGAAACCCCAGGAGGAAGGGGTGGGAGGTGTTCAGCAGAGATCTCTCTGAGAAGGCAGTGGTCTTTGCATTACACATAGGGCTGCAGGATGCCTCAGTTTGAATTTCAGATAAACAGTGAATACTTTTTTTAGTATACATCTATCATATGAAATATTAAGGACATATGCGTTCCATAAAAATTATTAGTTTTAAAATTCAAATTTAACTGGGCATCCTGTATTTTCATCTGCTAAAACAGGTAATTCACACATTTCACATTTTATAAAAGGAGTAAGAAGTACCTGCACAAAGGGAAAAGGTAGAAAAGTGTTGAAGAAGAAAAAACTGAGGAGTTGTCGGCTTAAAGTATCCGCAGGTCAAAAGGTTCTCATCTCAAAAATGAGTATAACATGGAACAACATTTAATGTCAGAGTGTCCATGACCCTCATGAATGCCCTATAAGAGATTTTACCCAGGGCTAGGTGTTGTGGCTCACGCCTGTAATACCAACACTTAGGGAGGCTGAGGTGGTCGGATTGCCTGAGGTCAGGAGTTTGAGACCAGTCTGGTCAACATGGTGAAACCTGTCTCTACTAAAAAATAAATTAGCCGAGTGTGATGGCGTGCACCTGTAATTCCAGCTATTTGGGAGGCTGAGGCAGGGGCATTGCTCGAACCAGGGAGGTAGAGGTTGCAGTGAGCCGAGATCGCACCACTGCACTCCAGCCTGTGCGACAGAGCGAGACTCCATCTCAAAAAAAAAAAAAAACAGAGAGAGAGAGAGATTTTACCCTGTCCATGTTTCCTTAGAACCTTTAAAAAAAAATCATTTCCACATCATAATTTTGAAAGCTTATTTTGCCAGGGTTGAGGACACGCCTGTGACACAACCTCAGGAGGTCCTGACAACATGTGCCCAAGGTGGTCAGGGCACAGCTTGGTTTTATACATTTAGGGAGACATGAGACATCAATCAACATATATAAGAACCAACATACATTGGTTCGATCTGCAAAGGCGGGACAACTTGAAGCAAAGGCAGGAAGTCAGGAGGGAGCTTCCAGGTCACAGATAGGTGAGACACAAATGGTTACATTCTTATGAGTTTCCGATTAGCCTTTCCAAAGGAGGCAAATCAGATATGCATCTCTCTCAGTGAGCGGAAGAGTGACTTTGAATAGAACGGGAGGCAGGTTTGCCCTAAGCAGTTTCCAGCTTGAGTTTTCCCTAGTGATTTTGGGGGCCAAGATATTTTCCTTTCACAAATGCAATTGGTAACAATACTCATTTTTTGGCTGGGCGCAGTGGCTCATGCTTGCTATGCCAGCACTTTGGGAGGCTGAGGCAGGCAGATCACCTGAGGTCGGGGGTTCAGGACCAGCCTGGCCAACATGGCGAAACCCCATCTCTACTGAAAACACAGAAGAGTTAGCCAGGCCTGGTGGCATGTGCCTGTAATCCCAACTACTTACTAGGGAAGCTGAGGCAAGAAAATCGCTTGAACCTGGGAAGCAGAGGTTGCAGTAAGCTGGGATCATGCCACTGCACTCCAACCTGGACAACAGAGTGAGACTCTATCTCAAAACGAAACAAAACAAAAATCCTCTTTTTTTTTTTTTGTAAACTAAAAAGTACCTGAGGGGAGGGGGAAGGGATAGCATTAGGAGATATACCTAATGTAAATGACGAGTTAATGGGTGCAGCACACCAACATGGCACATGTATACATATGTAAGAAACCTGCACGTTGTGCACATGTACCCTAGAACTTAAAGTATAATAAAAAAGAAATAAAAAAAAAGAATGCCCATTATTACTATTTCTATTCAGCATTGTACTGGAGGCTCTGGCCAGTTGGGGGTGTGGGGGGAAGTACCCGAGACAAATCTCAATCAATTTGTAAGTTTATTTTGCCAAAGTTAAGGACATGCCCAGAAGAAAAAAAACACAAAACCACAGAAACAGTCCTTGTTTGAGACTGCAGTATTTAAAGGGAAAAAGTGGGCTGGAGGAAAATGAGGGAGGGCATGATAATCCACATGTTGCAAGAGAAAAGGAGCAGCCAGGGGAATAGTCAATTATGTATTGTCTCACACTCAGTAAATAGGCACCTAAAGCAGGATAAGGCGGACATAGAGTAGCTGCCTGTGCAGGTACTTAACTTTTTATCTGGAGCTGTCTGCTAACGAACAAAAGGAAAGGCGACTTCTTGCATGACTCAGCTTTCAGCTTAATTTTTTCCTTTTGGCATAGTGAATTGGGATCCTGAGTTTTTGTTTTCCTTTCCCACTGTCATGTGCATCCATGTGAAGAGACCACCAAACAGGCTTTGTGTGAGCAATAAAGCTTTTTAATCACCTGGGTGCAGGTGGGCTGAGTCCGAAAAGAGAGTCAGCAAAGGGAGATAAGGGTGGGGCCGTTTTATAGGATTCGGGTAGGTAAAGGAAAATTACAGTCAAAGGGGGGTTGTTCTCTGGCGGGCAGGAGTGGGAGTCACAAGGTGCTCAGTGGGGGAGCTTTTTGAGGCAGGATGAGCCAGGAAAAGGACTTTCACCAGGTAGTGTCATCAGTTAAGGCAAGGACCGGCCATTTTCACTTCTTTTGTGGTGGAATGTCATCAGTTAAGGCAAGGACCGGCCATTTTCACTTCTTTTGTGGTGGAATGTCATCAGTTAAGGCGAGGCAGGGCATTTGCACTTTTTTGTGATTCTTCAGTTACTTCAGGCCATCTGGGCGTATACCTGCAAGTCACAGAGGATGCGATGGCTTGGCTTGGGCTCAGAGGCCTGACACCCACCTGTGTTGAGCTGAGAACTAGTTCCTGAAAGCAGTGTGCAATGGAGAAAATAATACACTGGGCTTTTGGGCTGGAGGTAGATGGAGTTTGAATCCTGGCACCACCACATTCCAGCTGTGTGTCTTTGCCTTAATTACTTAACCTGAGTCTCACCTTCCTCATATGTAAAATGGAGTCAGTTATTCCACTCTTTTGTTACAGGATTGTCATCAGAATCAAATGTGATGAATAATACCAATGGGCTTTTTAAATAGCTTCATTTAGCAATTACCCGACACAGGACAGACACTTTACATAAATTATCTTAATCATTATAAAGTAGGTATTATGATTCCCATTTCACAATGGAGAAAATGTGCTCCATAAAAATTAATGTGCTTGTTTGTCAGTCATGGAGACAGGCCTCAAATTCAAGTCAGTTTTGATTCCCAGGCCCATAGTAAGGACACTGTGTACCTGTGTTCCCCTAAAGCATGGTAATAATGATACCTCTTATGTTCCATTTGTGTTGACTTTATCCAATAGGAAGAAGAGGCTGGCACAACTTTACCGGCAAACTGTCTGCCTCTCCTTGCTGTGGCGCATCTATAGCTACGGTTATTTTTTTCACTGGAAGTATTATGCCCAGCTGGCAGTTATGATGCAAATGAATACTGCACTGGAAACTCAAAATCATTTCCAGGTAGGGGGTTTTTGTAGCTGCTCCTTTAAGTTTCTGAATTTCATTTGGGAAGAAAAGCCTAGTGAAAGCCAATTAGGATTCAAAATTCTGAGGATATAATAATAGAAGGCTTTCTGACTGGCTTGTTTTGACAAGGCCAGCAGTTCTCAAACACTTTGGCTCCAAGATCACTTCACACTCTTAAAAATTACTGAAGATCCCAAATAGCTTTTATTTATATGGGTTGAATCTATTAATATCATATAAGAAACAAAACCCAAGAAAATTCGAAAATATTATTATTATTTTTTTTTTTTTGCTGTTTTTCTTGAGATGGCATCTCGCTGTGTCGCCCAGGCTGGAGTGCAGTGGCACGATCTCGGCTTTTTTTTGCTGTTTTTCTTGAGATGGCATCTCGCTGTGTCGCCCAGGCTGGAGTGCAGTGGCACGATCTCGGCTTTTTTTTGCTGTTTTTCTTGAGATGGCATCTCGCTGTGTCGCCCAGGCTGCAGTGCAGTGGCACGATCTGGGCTCACCGCAACTCCACTTCCCGGTTTCAAGACAGTCTCTTGCCTCAGCCTCCGGAGTAGCTGGGGCGGCACCGCACCCAGCTAATTTTTGTATTTTTACTAGAGACGGGGTTTCACCATGTTGGCCAGGCTGGTCTTGAACTCTTGGCCTCAAGTGATCCACTCACACTGGCCTTCCAAAGTGCTGGGATTAGAGGCATGAAGCACTGCACCTGGCCTACAATATTATTTTAAAATAAAGATAAGCTTATTACATATTAACATAATTACCATTTTCATTTTTTAAAACTGTGTTCCTCAAACAAAAAATGGGAAATGTGGCATTGTATTAAAGTTTTGACAATATTTTAATGTCTGGCTTCATAGAAGACAACTAGATTCTCACATCTGCTTCTGCTTTCACTGTTGCAATATCACAAATGTTGCCTCTGAAAGACTCCAGTATATATTCATGAGAGAATGAGGGTGAAAGAGAGAAATGTTAAAGGGTAATTCTTTTCTAAAAATATAGAATTATAAGTCATAACAGATATGGAAAGTACACATCAAAGATTTTATTTAACTCACTGAGTTGACTCAATCAAAATTAGTAAGATTGGAACCAAGTAGTTCCAAGGAGAATACAATTTACCAATGGATACAAAACTTACCTAGTAACGGTGTAATAATTGCTTGTATTCCACTGAATATTTACATTTCTATGAAAAACAAATTATATCACTTACATTATTATCAGTTTTCTGCAACGTAGTTGTAAGATAGTCCAAAGAAAAATAGAGATGACTTTGATTAGTAAGCTAGGTAGGACCCCCATTAAGTTTGTATTTTTGCCTATTACAAGGTCTTTCACTATTTTTCCTGTCACAAATAATGTCTGGATATTAGCCGGGCACGGTGGCTCATGCCTGTAATCCCAGCACTTTGGGAGGCTGAGGTGGGCGGATCACGTGAGGTCAGGAGTTCAAGACTAGCCTGGCCAACATGGTGAACCCCATTTCTACTAAAAATACAAAAATTAGCCGAGTGTGGTGGTGGGTGCCTGTAATCCCAGCTACTCGGGAGGCCGAGGCAGGAGAATTGCTTGAACCCAGGAGGCGGAGGTTGCAGTGAGCCAAGATCGTGCCATTGCACTCCAGCCTGGATGACAAGAGTGAGACTTTAAAAATAAAAATAAAAATAAAAATTTTAATGTCTGGATATTATGGAACTAGCTTTGACCTCATGTGTTCTCTGAAAAGGTGTCAGGGATCCCTAGGGCTCCCAGGATGAATTGGGAGAACCACTAGTCTAGGTCATAACCAAGGAAGCCTTTGACTGGATGAAGAAGGTATCAGGAGACATGATCAAGAAATTATTAAGCTAAATCGAACTCATCTAATGAGAGTGACCTTGCTCCTTTATGAAAGTACATTAAGTCTGGGTTTCTTCCTCCTGGAGTCATTCATTGTCAAGAATTAAGGGAAGGGGTCAAGTAGCACTGAAAATGGAGGAGCTTAGATTCCTAACCTGGAGTCTGTCCTCTACATTAGTTCCTTTTGGTGAACTTAGGCTGGCTCTTCTAGAATACAGAAGTATTTATAAAGCCCATCAAGATTGACCCCTGCCTATTTCCCATCCTATTCTAGCTCCGTAGGCCATGAAGGAGCCACAAGCCCAGCCATATTGGTCCTCTTTTGGTTCCTCAAACCAGAAATTTAATCCCATCTGTCACTGGATGTTCCCTCTGCCTGGAGGGAACGGGTCATGGCCACCCATTCACTTTCTAACTTGTCTCACTCTGTTTTAATAGGTATTATTACCATTTGACAATTTCTTGTTTGCTCCTGCATTGGTTCTTTGTCTCTCTCCCTTACTAGTGTGTAAATCCCACGAAATAAGGACCTCTTCAGCTGTCATGTTCATATCCTAAGTTTCTAGAACAGTTGCAGTTGCTCAAGCAATTTATATTGACCGAAATACTTCTTCACACTTGGAGCTATATCCTAAGAACTCTGGTAGAGTTGGGGTGGGGAAAATAAAAAGTCAGGTTGGAATGTGAACCAAGACATTTGTCGTCAAGGTGACTGGGATTGAAAGCAGAGAAGCACTCGCCTCAGTGCTCAAAAGCAGGTGAGGGACTCAGCATAGGAGAATGGAAAGACCCAGACGGAGAGCCAGAGGGTGGTTTCCAGGACTCCACCTATCTGCAGTGTGACCACTGGCAAGCTGCAGAAACACGGAGCTTTATATTTGCTCTGTAAAGTGAAGCAGTTGGGCTTCCATTCTCGTGGTCCAAATCCAAGGCTGTCCTTTATTACAGCCTTGGATTTCTCATACCCAACAATTCTCTCTCCCCCACCACCATTTCTGGCTATCCTTACCTTCTGGTAGCATTTTCTGGAGCATGTTCCAAACCAGGAAGAAAGGAATTCTCTAAGACTGACTATGGTTTAAGTATCCAGGGACCTGCCTATAACACAGAATTTGTAGGCTGCTTATTTTGTCCCATCTGAGGAATTCCAAGAAAAAAGCCTCTACTCTAAAATACTTCCCCTACCCCAATACGCCCACCACTAGAGATACTATATTTTTCCTGTTTGTATTTTTCAAAGTAGTTTATGTGTATTCTTTTGTTTTTGTATATATAATAAAACTGCTTCTTTAGAAGGAACTCTTTTCTCCTCACTATTCTCTCACCAGTTTCTCTTAAATCTCCAAATTAGATTTGTTTGTTTGTTTGTTTTTGAGAAGGGTCTCACTCAGTCACCCAGGCTGGAGTGCAGTGGCATGATCATGGCTCACTGCAGCCTCAACCTCCCCTGCTCAAGTGATCCTCCCAAACACCTCAGTTTCCTGAGTAGCTAGGATTACAGGCTTGTGTCATCATGCTGGCTTTTTTTTTTTTTTTTTTTAATCTTTTGTAGAGATCGAGTCTCACTATATTGCCCAGGCTGGGCTCAAACTCCTGTGCTCAAGTGACCTCCCGTCTCAGCCTCCTGAGTAGGTAGGACTACAGGCATGTGCCACCATGCCTGGCTAGTTTTTGTTGTTGTTGAAACAGGGTCTCGCTTTGTGCCCAGGCTCATCTGGAACTCCTGAGCTCAAGCAATCCTCCTGCCTCAGCCTCCTGAAGTGCTGGGATTATAGATGTGAGCCACTGCACCTGACCTCCAAATTAGGTTTAAAACTAGTCCTTGGCCGGGCGCGGTGGCTCAAGCCTGTAATCCCAGCACTTTGGGAGGCCAAGATGGGCGGATCACAAATTCAGGAGATCGAGACCATCCTGGCTAACACGGTGAAACCTCGTCTCTACTAAAAAATACAAAAAACTAGCTGGGCGAGGGGGCGGGCGCCTGTAGTTCCAGCTACTCGGGAGGCTGAGGCAGGAGAATGGCATAAACCCAGGAGGCGGAACTTGCAGTGAGCTGAGATCTGGCCACTGCACCCCAGCCTAGGTGACAGAGCCAGACTCCATCTCAAAAAACAAAAAAAAAAACAAAAAAACACCTAGTCCTTATTTAAAAAAAAAAAAAAAATCCAAACAAACCAAACCAACCTTTCTTTCTTTTTTGTTAAATTACAAAAGTTATACATGCTTGTTATAACAAACATCACAGAGGTGCATAAAGTAAAATCTCTCCTCCCACCCCCAACAAATAGGTAACAATTGTTTACACTTTGGAGTGTATCCTTGCAGACTTTTTGCTCTGCAATTATACATCTAATATGTAAGCTATTGCTTTTATTTTTCATAGAAATTAAAATGTTTCTATTTCATTTAAGGACTACATGGGCAAGGGGACATCAAGCTTATCCTGAATGACTCAATAAACAGGTAGCAGAAACCCAATATGATTTCTGTATCTAAGCCCATGGCTTTGGCCAAATGTCCAGCTCTATTCCCAAGCTTAATAAACAAACGTTTACTGGCAGACATTGAGTGATGTTCCTGAGCTTTCTGCTTTGCATTCTACCTCAGTCTTCCTCCACTCTGCCATTTCAGATCATTAAGGCTTACCTAGACTATTCGCTATACCACCACCTGGCTGGTTACCAAGGTGTGTGGTTCCAATATGAAGTCATGGCCATGGAGCAGATCTTCAACCTCCCCCTGAAAGGCGAGGGCATTGAAATCGTGGCATACGTGGCCGAGACACTGGTCTTCAACAAGTTCATAATGGGACACCTGGACTTGGCCATTGAGTTAGGTAAGGGCTGGCTGGGCAAGATGGGACATGAGGATACAAGGAATGCCCCACAGTATACTGGAATTGTTTTCTTCCCAGGCTCCCGAGCCCTTCAGATGTGGGCACTGCTCCAGAATACCAACCAACACTATCTGTCCCTCTGTAGACTTAGCAGATGTCTCCTTCTGAATAGCAGGTATTTACCTTAAAGCATTTTCCAAAATTAGGGGGAGGAGGCCATATTATTGAATATTCTGGGTTCAACTTTAGCCTGGTTGTAGGGTGGGGAAGGGAGTAGAGTTTGATGTAACTGATAATTGTCGTCCTTTTTTCTTTTTTCAGACAGAGTCTTGCTCTGTCTCCCAGGCTGGAGTGCAGTAGTGCGATCTCGGCTCACTGCAACCTCTGCCTTCCGGGTTTAAGCAATTCTCCTGCCTCAATCTCCCACATAGCTGGGATTATAGGCACGTGCCACCACACCCAGATAATTTTTGTATTTTTTAGTAGAGAGGCGGTTTCACCCTGTTGGCCAGGCTAGTCTTGAACTCCTGACCTCAAGTCATCTCAGCCTCCCAAAGTGCTGGGATTACAGGCATGAGCCACTGCTCCAGGCCTTGTTTTTTTTAAACAGAATTCTTTGCCGTGCATCATCTCTAATCTGGTTGCTCTGGCCAGTGATCAGAGGGTAGTCAGACAGTCATCCCAGCTGTGGGAATCGGGCCTCCACTACTATCAGGTGGGGACAAAGGGAAAGGTCTTCCAGGGAGGCAAATGGCCAGAGAATAGCAACCAGGACTAGAGGCCAAGGTCAATTTGTTCTGACTCTGGTCACCCTGATATAGAGGACCCAGGAAAGAACAGTTTGAAAAAAGAGCCAATTTGAGATTGAGGTTTTAGTCCTGGGTAGGGGTGTGTTTGAAGTCTGTTTAAGAGGTATATTTGCTTCCAAATTACTGAGAAGGACCAAGAATAGACCAGGAAGGGACTTTACTGAACTTCATCCTATCTACTGCTTTTTTCATTCAATGGCTTTCGGGGTACAAATGGTTTTCGGTTACATAGATGAATTTTATGGAGGTGAATTCTGAGATTTTAGTGCACCTGTCACCTGAGCAGTGTACGCATACCCAATATGCAGTCTTTTATCCCTCACTTCTCACTTCCCTCCTCCCCTCCCCCCTGTCCCCAAAGTCCATTATATCCACCGCTTTTTTTTTTTTCCCCTCCTGAGATGGAGTTTCACTCTTTTGCCCAGGCTGGAGTGCAGTGGTATGATATTGGCTCACTGCAACTTCTGCCTTCCGGTTTCAAGCGATTCTCCTGCCTCAGCCTCCCAAGTAGCTGGGATTACAGGCGCCCACCACCATGCCCAGCTAATTTTTGTATTTTTAGTAGAGACAAGGTTTCACCATGTTGGCCAGGCTGGTCTCAAACTCCTGACCTCATGATCCACCTGCTTCAGCCTCCCAAAGTGCTGGGATTACAATATCCACTGCTTTTTAATGGCCACTACCTTTTCTTTTCTATAGATACCCACAATTGATCCAGGTGCTGGGGCGGCTGTGGGAGCTTTCTGAAACACAAGAACACGTCTTAAGCAAGGCATTTTTCTATTTTATCTGCTTGGACATCCTGCTTTATTCTGGTAAGTGTGGGTTTGGAATGTAAAAGAACTTGGGGGTGTGGCACCTGTGCTGGTGTGGTGTGGCAGCTCTCAGGTTGGGGCTTTGGGACCATTAGGTTTCTGGCTGGGTGGACTTACAGGGCAGGGATGGAGAGAGGCTGGTGGTGTGAGCTGAAGCACTGTCTAGCAGGTGCCGAAACTGTAAAGGCACGGCAACAAGGAGAATTAAGTCTGAAGGAACCTGATGGATATGAGCTGCCAGTTAAACTGTCAGATCAATTTGCACCTAAGTGATAGTGGCTGACTGTCTTACTATGTGCCTCTTACTAGGGGTTTTTAACTTTTAGCAGGATGTACTTAGAGACTTCATGCTTTAGAATGAAGGACTAGATTGCTTGAGGTGAGAGTTCCAGGCTGGTAGCTATTGGTGATTTGGAAAATAAGTTCTTTCCTGATAACCTTCAAGTGACACCAAGTAGGTCACTTGAAGTGTACACACTAAACCACAGGAACCAATCTGGGAATTGCTTTCCCCACACGTGATCTTGAAAGGGGATGCAGACATTGCCACCAACAAAGGAAGCATGTGTGGGGAGACAGAGAAGTCCTAGACTGCATTAAGGCCAGGAAGGATTAGTTTAAGCCCCACACCTGCCTGATTCGTACTGTGGAACTGTAGTATATATCCATAACACTCCCCAATAGCTCGGACTCAGCAAACGCACGGCAATCCAGTCATGAGGTTGTTGCAATCCACGGGACGCTTTGGATTCATACAATAATCAGAGGCTACTCTCCCTGCAGTGGGCAATTCAACTGAGAGCGACTAGGCTAGAAAGATGATCACCCACACCTACCAACAACTCTCACCCATTCCTCTCTCTTAGGTTTTGTTTATAGAACATTTGAAGAATGTTTGGAATTTGTATACCAATACGAAGACAACAGAATCCTCAAGTTCCAGAGTGGATTCCTCCTGGGACTTTATTCTTCTGTAGCTATCTGGTAACAATGTGTGGCGTATCACTAAATTCCCAAAGTGAAAATGTTGAATCCCAAGGAAGAGTTCTTCAAAAATCTTTTAGAAAGTATTCATAATTTATACCTGAGACAGCTTAAAGGTGTCAGAGGATATTTACACTGAGAGACATGTTAGGGATCAATTAGTTCATCCCCCTTGGCCAAGGACAGAAAAGTAAAGTTGTCTCAATTACATTCCATGCAATAAACATTTATTGCAAACATATCATGTTGTGGTGATACAGGGATAAATAAGAAAAGATTGCTTTCTTCGGAGGGGTGCTGGGGTTTGAGGAAGACTAATGAATAGTACCACTTGCCCACCCCAGCATCCGCCCATATCTAATCACATGGATTGATAAAGCCAATGTTGGAAGACATGGCTTATATCTTCATGAAAGTGGGCTTCATAATATCGAGCCCTGGAATTAGACTTAACCAACTCAGCAGCAGGCAGTTCTGGAAAACTGTAGGTCTACTCACATGGAGGCAGGCCTCTTGTAGCAAAGAAATCACACTCCCTGTTGGCTTCACTGGCTCTCAAGACAGAGAGAGACACAGATGGAGTTATACTTGCCCAATTCCTCTCCCAAATCACCAGCAAGATCTCTCCTTATCATCGAAGGGGCAAGTGAAGCAGGGAAAGAGTTCTGGTGCTTTGCACCAAATAGAGGCCCCTCACATGGAGGGAAATTTCAGGAGTGAGGAAGAGGCATTCTCCTCACACCCCATTAACTCATTAAGCATAAGGCTTAATCACTTTAACCTATTACGTTTTTAACTCAGTTAAGCATGTAGCTATTATGGTCATACCCTTTAGAAAGGAGATGAACGCTAGGGTTCTAAAATGGGTCAGAACAAAACATTCATTAAATTATTTCCATGACTATCCCCAAGACTGAAAATCACCCCCTGTTATTTTATTTCCTATCTTAATTAAATTATATGCAACCATATGGTCTATCAGAGGTTTGTGATGAGACTAAATGACAATATGAAGACATTCCTATATAAAATGCCACAAGCTTGGACAGCTCCAAATTTGAATAGAAATCCTCCCCTTCCTTCTTTCTGAGACAGTCTTGCTGTGTCACCCAGGTTGGAGTGCCGTGGTGCAGTCACGGATCACTGCAGCCTCACCTTCCCAGGCTCAAGTGATCCAAACACCTCAGCTTCCTGAGTAGCTGGAGCTGCAGGCACATCCACCACACCTGGCTAATTTTAATTTTTTGTAGAGATGGGATTTCGTGATGTTGCCCAGGCTGGTCTCCAACTCTTGGGCTCAGGTGATCTGTCTACCTCAGCCTCCCCAAATGCTGGGATTACAGACATGGGCCACTGCACCTGGCCAGAAATCCCCTCTTATAAAATTAATGGGAGGCCGGGCGCAGTGGCTCATGCCTGTAATCCCAGCACTTTGGGAGGCCGAGGCAGGTGGATCACCTGAGGTTGGGAGTTCAAGACTGGCCTGACCAACATGGAG